CAATTCTTCACAAAAATACAACTAGAGAGCGTACCGCAACTAAATTTGATGCGCCGCTACAGTGACCGCCCAACGGCTCTCTTCCACGTGTATTCTGCTGGGCTATCCGATCAGCTTTTTAAACATATCCAACGGTAGCCATTTTTCGCGAATAAAAAAAATCGAAAAAGCAACCCCCAACGGCTCTATGCCACGTGGAAGCTCCTGGGCTCTCCGATCATTTTTTTCCAGCAATCCAACGGCAGACAATTTTTTGCCCAATAAAAAAATGAAAAAAAATAGGGAAAAATTTAAAAAAATATTGAATATTTTTTTTTTTCTATAAATACCAACCAATACTCTTCACTTTTAACACCAACTCCTCATACATTTTCTTTTCCTTCTACTATTTTTCGCTTTCTACTAAATTTTTTTTCATTTTCAAGTTGTTTTTTTCTCTATCATATTATGGGTTCTTCTAGTGAAACCGGAGGAGGGGCATGGAGTATGACGGAAGATATTAGCTTGTGTGAGGCTTGGCTCCAAGTTAGTCATTGTCCCGTAACGGGCAATGAGATCAAATTCTGTCATATGTGGAAAAAAATCATCAGGAATTTTGTGAAAGGGTAATTGGTTCGACCCGTACGGATCAGGCATTATCTAGTAGGTGGAAAATTCTTAATAAAGAGCTGGGAAAATGGAGAGATGCCTTGACAAAAGCGATGAACAACCATAGAAGTGGGGAAAACCTTAGCAGTGAGGTAAATTATTTGTAATTTTTTGTTTTATTAATTTCTATGTCATATTAAATTTTATTTAAATGTTTCTTGCAATTTATATATTATGTTAATATTTCTTGTATTTCCAATATTAATATGAATGTTTCTTGCAATATTTATATTTTGTTTTGCATTTCTAATAAATGGTTAAAGTTTCTTGCGTTTCCATTAATTTTTTTAGAGTAATGCTACACTTATCGCATTATTATCCCACATTTCTATACTACATGATGTGGCATATCCATATCATATGACATATCAATTAAATGAATGAAGTGTATTTTAATAAATAAAATTAGAAAAACAGAAACTATTATTTTACATGATGTGGTATGTACACATCAGCCGCCACATCATGTGGTATAAAATTGTGGTATAAAAAATGTGGTAAGACTTGTATTATTCATTTTTTTAATACTTGTTGCATTGCCAATATTTTTTTTAGTTTCTTGTATTTCCTTTTTTTTTTTTTTTTTATACTTGTTGCATTGCCAATATTTTTTAAAGTTTCTTGTGTTTCCATTATTATTTTTTTATACTTGTTGCATTGCCAATATTTTTTTTTCTTTTTTGTATAGATTATGCAAGCACAAATGTTTTTTGGTGTTACTGGGCAAGGGAAAAAAAGTTTCAACCATACCCTATGTTGGGAGGTGGTGAAGAATTGTAAGAGATTCCAAATTATTCCAACGGGTCCAACGATAGTGTTGAACGAGATGCCACTCCATGAGACACCGACATCGGATTCACCTATGGATTCCCCGATGAGTCAAGACTCACCTATAGAAAAAGAGCCGAGGCCTATTGGGAGGAAGGCGGCGAAGGCGAAGAGAGGGAGTAATTCTACCAAGAATATATTTAAATATTTGGAGGAGCTTTCAAAGATGCAAGCCATGAGAATTGAAATGGATATGAAACAACAATAGCACGATAGGGCAATGGAAGTAGAATATGCAAAAGAAAGGGAGTATGTACGCCAAGGAAAGATTGAAAAAAATGATCGGGAAACCATGGCTATGGATACAACCCATATGTCCCCCGAAACAAAACAATTTTGAAAGTTAGAACGAAGGGATGTTATGAGACGAAGACTTTTTCATGACGATGGACCTAGCAACACGGATTGGTTAAATGATCAAAACCATTAAGTTAGTTTGCTTGCCTTTCATTTCATTGTATTTATTTGAATTTTGAATTTTGAATTTATCTGAAATTTGACATTTTGAATTTATCTGAAATTTGAATTTTGAAATGTATCTGAAATTTGAAACCGAAAATCTAATCCGATATGATTAGTATTGACACGTAGGAACCCAAAAATCTTATCCGAAAATATTATCCAAATTAATTGTTTAAGTAAACAAAGTTGTAAAAAAACAAAAAAAATGAATAGTATTTGCCATGGCAAGCCTTGCACTGCTGGAAACACAATTTTGTGTGTGTGCTAGGGCAGCCACTATTCACGTGAATAGTAGCCGCCCTAGGGCTCCCCTTGCCATGGCAATGGGCTAACTGGTTGAAGTGCTCTAAGAGCAACTCCATCCATTTGCCCCTTGCCATGGCAAGGGGGGGAGCTAGGGTAGCCACTATTCACGTGAATAGTGGTTGCCCTTGTAAATAGTATTATGTGTTTCCATCCGTTGCCATAGCAAAAGGCAATTACTATTCATTTTTTTATTTTTTTTCACAAATTTGTTTACCTAAACAATTAATTTGGATAATATTTTCGGATAAGATTTTTGGGTTCGTACGTGTCAATATTTATTTTAAAATTCATATCTCAATCAGATAAAATTTTGGTATTTATAGAAAAAAAAACAGTAATTTTTTGGTATTTAAAAAAAATTTCGATTTTTTTTCATTTTTTTATTGCACAAAATTGGCTACCTTTGGATTGGAGAAAAAAAATTTGATCGGAGAGCCCAGAGAGCGACACGTGGACTTTAGCGGCACTATAGCGCTGACGTCAGCACCAAAACAAGGGTTGGAGCTTGGGCCAACCTTGCCCTCGGGCCAGCCCAGGCTGCTGGGTGCCACCTTGCGCTCGGGCTTGGGCTCATCGCTGGAAATGGATTTTGGCATTTTTTTCCCCCAGCCCGAGGCTCTGTCATGCCGCTGTTGTTGCTCTAAGGGAAGAGTCAAATGGATAGGCAAAATATACTCTCCTCAACAAGGCAATATTGCCTACTTCAAAGTAAAAAGGTATATTGAGTCCCACTTGTTTTTTATGATAAAATATCATATACACTCTTTCACATGCTTTCTATAAAATATAATAGTAAATGTAAAAGATAAAAATAAATAATATAATAATAGTTTGTAAACTTGCATTGCCTAGTGCCTTGGTGTGAGTGACCAACTCTTTTCATGAGGCAAATGAGTTGGCGACATGTCACCTAAGTTATAGTACAATTTTGCGTATTTGATTTGCGTACTCCCTTAAAGATTCTTAGGAGGATATTATTTTTATCCCTTTATATAATATTGTGGATAGGGGATTCGTCTTCGTGGTTTTATGTTTATTAAGCACTCATTATTCATCAACTTTTAGTGTAATTAAGTAAATAAATAAAAACCCCACTAACACATTTTTTAATATAAAAAATTCGACCTTTTTTTAAATAACGAAAGTGAAAGGAGATGAGAACGAAAGAGAAGAATACATGAACTTTTAAAATTTATTTATTTATTGTGTGTGTAAGAGTAGATAATATGAAAAACGACAGGCAAACAGAGTCCAATTTATAAGTATTTGGGCTAGACTCTTGGCCCAACTCAAACAAAAACCCACTTACCTCTATTATTACTTATTAGTATGTGTCTCTCAGTTTTCTTTTCGTTTTCTTTTCTGGGCACGATCGCTCCCTTCTCTGACTGAAATTAAAAAACAAAGCCCAAAAAGAAAAGGGATTCACACACACATGTCACGTTTACTTACAAGTAATAAGAATGAGAAGATAGGGAATAATTTTCATTCATGACTTCTTCAGTATTTACTTACACATAAACAATTATTAAATACGCGGATCCTACCTAAAAATCCTTAATCAAATATCCAAGGACTCGATTTCTTTGCAAGGCTTTTTTATCATAGCTCAAAAGGAGGTTTTACCCATGCCAACTAAGACAGGCAACAGTGTCTCCATCTTCTAGATTTCATCTACCATATCCATTCAACACTTTGACTCCATTTAGTTTTCTATATTGACCAAAATCTGCATCCTCAGCTCCTCCATTTAATATTATCTTAGAAATGTTTGACAGTTTTCTGTTGCACCAACCGCTCTAAATCCAACTACCTTCAAGTTCAATTCTAACTTTCAAACCTACCGAATACAAAACGAATTTCTATATATATATATATATATTAAATGAGGGGAGCTTTGAATGGAAACTGCCTACGATATCTATATAATGAGCGGGACGCAATTGCACCCAGAGCATTCTTAGACCCTTTTCATGACAGTCAAATCAAATTAAGGAAACCAGTCAATGGATCTATATTTGGTGGTAGTGGAGATACCTGTCACGTTATTTCGAGTCAATCACTTGCGATGAGTTTTAACTTTCGGATATGACGATATAACTTTCTAACATGGCAATGCGTGATACTGCCACGATGGCATCCCCCCTTAACTTGCGATGTGTTTTAACTTTCGAATATGACAATACAACTTTCTAACATGACAATGCGTGATACTACCTCTTACATGTAAGTTATGAAGCAGTGAACGAATTCTTATACATGAAATGGAATTTTACAGAAGCAAAAGAAAAATGCTGGACTCAGATTGAAAATTTTCTATTACACATTTTTACAATCTTTAGTTTGGCTACAAAATAGGACTGAAACCAACAATACATGACAATAGCAAAAGATCAATGGTTCAAGAATTTTAAAAGAACAAAATATTGAATAAACCATATCTGTTTTCAATATACACATTGACCGGAATGACCTTTACAAGACCAGAAGTTGTTCTCCATTTCTGCTTACTCAAAAAATACTTCACAGAAATAGGCACCCAAACGACAATTAAGAGAGCAAAATGCCAACACCATGTTTTTATTTTTCTTCTTTTTTACCCCCCAAAAACTGTGGATCTATCTTACTATTATAATTACGGAGGGACCCTTGAGTTCAAAGTCCCCAGTAGTATTTGCAAACACTGTTAGTTAAGAAAACCTCAGCTAAAAATACACCTCCATCTTCACACGGGTGCTGGACTTGGAGACACACCACTAGAACACTGCTTCCAGATATTGGTTGTGATGCCTCTTGTTGAACTCTAATACGCTACCATATGTGCGATCAGCGATCCCAACAAACAGAGCTTCAGTGTCGGGGCTAAAGGATATTCCGGCAATCTCACCAAACAGATCAATCTCTTGTCCCTTGATGTACCCGGACTGGGTATCCATGATGTGAACAAAGTCTGCTGGCTCAGCCATGGCCATGAACCGGCCATCGGAGCTGAACTTAATGGCTCTTATTGCTCCCATCCTTCCCTTCAACACAGTGAGGGACTCTGAGAGGTTCCTTATGTCCCATAACCTGCAAGTAGTGTCTTGATTCCCAGTAGCCAAAATTTGTCCGTTCGGGTGCCACGCAGAGGAAAAGGAATAGTCTAAGTGTCCTTTGAGGTTTCCAATGGCCTATGTCGAGTAGGTAATAGATCAGAACACTTCATGTGGTTTGGATAAAACAAAATAAATCGGCAGCAAAAACATAATGCGACTTACTTTTCCAGACTGGGCATCAGCAATCAAGCAGTCTGCACTATCACCAAGAACTGCAACCAGCTTACCGTCTGGACTAACAGATGTGTTCTGCCAAGAACCATAAACGAAATAAGCAAACATGAGGAATATAGAAAAGAAAGATTGGCACCATAAATAACAGTTTTTGTAGAGGGTACTTACATTTACGGACCAATCAAAGGAGAATTGATTTAGGCAAGCAAAATTTTGGACATCAAAAACTCTAACTTGAGCATCGTTGTTTGCAGCCATTACCCTCATTGACCCACTACACAGAGAAAGTTCATTTATACTCCTTCCAAGTCAAACAACCTATATTGTTTATGGCAGAGGACTTACGTAGGGCTTTGGAAAATGTCCACTGCATTTGTGATGGCATTGTCATCTGTTGTTACTTTTGAGCAGAAAGCAACTCCAGGTTGATTGATGTGCTGCCCAAATAAAAGAAAAATATCAACATTGGGAGAAAAGTGCTACGACAGATTCAGTACACAAACGACCATTTTATTTGAACATTTCCATATACATTTATTTGAACATTGCCATACCTTACAGATGAGCTCGCCTTGGAAGCCCCCAATAACCAATAAGTTTTCCTTAACAGCCATAGTGCTTATCTGCACTCTAGAGAGTGGCTGAGCCAACAACCCAGGTCGTTTCTGAAAGACAATACCAACTTAAATCAGACATTTTTACAGTCCAGATTTCAGCAATGAAACCTGATTAAAAAAACCAAATGTTTCATACCTCAGTAGGCACAATTGGTTTTGATACATTGAGTACTTCTTTCCCTCTCCTGAGCAAAGAGGACCAGTGCATTACTGAAAAGTTCTGCATAAGGTATACATCGTGCTTTGATGTGGCCCATAACAAATTCCTCAGCTGCACAAGGAGAAAGAAACCAAGTAGACGGACATCTTAGTAACAACATTCCGCTATCCAAGAAAGCAAATAAGAATATTAAAACAACCCCATGTCTGTGTATGCCAGATGACAAATATGAACTAACAGTAAAAAATGCTGTAGAAGTTACATAAAACAAGTGTCTGAGGTATCAGCTAATTACAAAGTACTTTTCTATTTTGTCTTCTCCCTAGAGTGTCTTTCAGAGATTATGCTTTATTTTATTCCTGGATTATAATTGTGCTATAAGCTCTAACATCGTGTACAATTCTTTTCTACTCAAAATCTTGTTGCAACTGAGTACCTAATGAACTACTGAAGCCAAGGTATATAAGACATTTTGTCTGAGTTGATACATAGGTACCCATAAAAACTAAAATCATTAATGTAGTACTTATAGGTCAGTGGCCAGTATATAAAAACCATGCATCATTTAGCCTTTACTTTTCATAGACCGGAAGAACCCCAAACCCAAAAAAAAAAAAAAAAAAAAAAAAAAAAATATATATATAATCTCTCTCTCTCTCTCACTCCAGGCCGGTATAAGTTTTTGTAAGTTGGAAGACAAAGTTAACTCTAAGGCCCTGAAGTGATGGGTAGTGACATGGAGACATCCCATGCATATGCACTTCTCCGGGTATGAGACAAAGGCATTTGAACAAATTTCCACTTAGGCAAGACTACAAACAGGTCACTGGGCAAATAAATTTGGGGATTAACATGACAACCACATCAGCCAAGGCAAGTGCATCCAACCATTAAGAAAGTACAGGTAAATGAAACACAATGATCACTCTTTGACCCTCACGGCGAAAGAAAAAACCAACAAAATATGGCAGAACAAATTATTATGACCAATCCAATGACATTCTTAATCACAAAGAGACAGACGGTGTATATACTTGAAAAGTAGCAATGCAAACCACCATAACAAAATATACCAGCAGATAGTATGTAACCACATCAACATAAACTTTGGATGACAATAAACAAATGTCAAAGAAATGCAAATGTGATGACCCTGTATGATAAATGCCAAATTAAAGCAAATGTGAAGGCCCTGTATGTCTCTAACAACTCTAGAGAGAATTCAAAGTCTAAGAGAGCAAGGACTCTGTAAATCGGGCCCCGTAGGATCAGAAGTACTGCCACTACTTGCTACAGTGGCCTCTTAAATGCTCAGATATTTTCCTATCATACCATATAAACAACGTCGCGCCAGCAGCTCTAAGTTCCACCCTGCTTTAAAAGCTGAAATAAAAGAGAGCAATAGCAGGCCTAAATGCAAGAGATGGGTTAAAGTGAAATATTATTGTCAGCAGTCAACAGAGCAATATATTTACCACCACAAATAAAAAATACAAGGGATAACTAACTAACATTCAAAAATAACAATGACTATGCAATATGCAAAAGAAATGGCATGCGGAAAATCAAGGCACAAAATGCACATGAACCATTTACAAAAATATTTGAATTGTATGAGTAACCACTGTTAACTATGTAAGATACAAAAAGTGAGGGGATCCAATTCATCTTAAGTTTGAACATCAACCATAAAATGCAGTGCGGGTGACTGGTGCTCAACTGTTCACAACTAATCTTACACAAGTATACCTTAGTTAATGGTTAGTTGTTGATAGAACTGACATTTTAGCTCCTATATCACCAAAAAGGTAAAACAGCTAACATACATCTTACTTTCAATTATAGCGGCTGCATAACGAGAAAATCTTTGACATCAGTAATGCAGAATACACAGCAGCGTGTACATGTGCACAGGTGTGTGTGTGTGTGTGTGTGTGTGTGTGTGTGTCTAGACATGCCTCATTATTTTGAAAAAGAAGGTTCATATCACTAGACGATATATCAGCATCAACACCAGGTTCCGTATCTCAGAGATACCAAATCGTACCATAGCCATTACGCATTCATACCCCCCAAAATAGGCATTAAAGCATCTCTTTGTGGAAAGGAGCAACAGACAAAATATTCAATAATGTACCTTTGAATCATGACAATTTAATTAATAAAAAATTTATGCAAGCAGATCAAAGTATATAGAAAGTAGCCTTTATATGTCTGCTAAAAGGGATCTACTGAATACAACCAGTTTGATGCCATTATTTGTGGCATTTAGCAGTTCAAAAACATTTTTGGCCTTCGGCCAGTGCACAGAATATATTGATCTGACACGCATTTGAAATTAATCCTTCCATAAAAGGTGCAATTAATTTTCTGAAAGGATTCAACTGCAGAAATATGCCCTCAGAACAAGGTTATCCTTATTACAAACTACTATATTATAGGGGAAAAAAAGTAGACCAAGAAGGGGTGACCTAAATTATATAAAACTGATTTGATCGAAATTGATTCTGTTTTCATTTAAGTTAAGCAGCAATAAACTATCTTGACAATAAGATGTTCACCTGTTGCCTACAGTTTAAGCAGAGAACCTTAGTTTAGGTTCACGAAGTACGCCAATTACATCTGAGATGATACAAGATCTAAAATAGGGCCCAACAAAGACAGAACCATTATGAACTCCATACCTTCCAGTGAATGGTTGAGGCACAGAACCATAATCACAAATTAAGATATCCATCATAAAGGATAAAACATTTTTACAAGACCTGCAAAACTACCAAACTAATAATATGCATATAACTACATTAAAAAACAGCTATAAATGGAATCTTATATCCAGCAGCAAGGCACAAAATTCAAAAGGATATAAACTTTATACACACAGCATGCCTTCAGTAAGTGACAAAAATAGCTAGGATATTATGATGAGCAATGCTCTTGAATAATCGAATGAATGCATGCAAATATGTATACCAATAGTAGTTTTAAGAACTTAATGTATCCAAATGATTGCTAAATGAATATGAAGATGAAAAATATGCAAATGTTGCACCATTACACATGGATGAAGTTTTGAAAAAATAAAAACAGGGAAGTGAAGGTTTATATGAACTCAACATCAAAATATTCCTATGTCTTCAAATAATGTCACAAACCAATTTTCTTTGAAAACATTTCAAATAGTATATAGAAGAAAGCACAAATCTCTACCTGGAAATGGACAATTGTAGACTTGACAATCCTTGTATTGTAGTGAAAGTCATAGAAGGTCTTCCCCATCTCTACTTGCAAGCACTCCTGTCAACATAGTATGTTCAGCAACGAGAAGATTCACAAAACTTACAACAAAAACAAAATTGATCTAGCCGCTATAATGGATAAAATAATTTCGCCTCACAAAGGACCGACATCAAAACATATGTAAAGATCAAGCCTTGAAGACCAACAAGGCATTTCTAAACCCGAAAAATACAGAACACAGAAGCAGAGGGCACAAAAAAGAATGAAGAGTACAAAGTAGAAACCTTTTCGAGGTCTTGACGAGGGCGAGAGAGGCTCTCGTAGTTCTTGTACTGCTTCAATCGTGTCTCACGATACTTATCTCTGGTGAAGTTAAGCCTCTCCCATGGAATTCCCTGTATGTCTTTCCCGTTTCTAGCTTCCATAGCAGAAGTATCAGTCTTCACCTTGCTCTGCTGCAAATTCACCAAATATCACTCCTTTGGTTGTTCAAATTGTATAGAATTACCAAATTCAACGGGAAAAAAAACAGAGCTCAATTACCTCATCAAAGTCGTCCTCAAAGTCTGAGTCGGCATCTTGGCTCCCACGGAGCTGGTTCTCAGCAAAAGCGTCGTTGTCTTCGAACTCAGCGACGTCGAAGTAGTCATCGACGACATACTCCAGCTCGTCGCTCTGAAACTGCGCCATCAACCTTCACACAACACACAGAACCCAGAACCTCACACCATTAATCTTTCAGCTTTTAATTTCTCGATTTCAAATTGAACTTTCAGAATTACAAATTAAAACACCAATCCGATAACCAATGAACAATGGCTGTGTATATAGCTCAATTTATACAGTACGAAGCTAAAAAATGAAAACAAAACCGAAGTAAATACCTTGAATTGGGGGAGAAATCAGTTGGACTGGTGAGAAAAACAGAGTGTGTAGAGTTTTCCCGAGAAACAAACAGAAAAAGTAAGCGTTTTTGTTGGCGTGTGAAAGAGAATGAGAGGAATCTAAAAGACTGAGAAAGTGAAAAGAGATGAAGAATCTGGAGCGAGGTTTGACAAAAGTGCGAGGAACGCTCCAACCATGACGCTCTACTTATAGTCTTATCAGAAGAGAGAGAGAGAGAAACAAGTAGGACCCGGAAGAGTAAGCTGGAAGGTGCCAGCCAGCAAGTAAATTGCCACAATGCCATTGTATATTTTTTTAAAGATTTTATTTTTATTTTTAAAATGTTCGTTACCTATTCTATTTCCCTATTTTAAATTATGATTTGATACCACTGGGAGAATATAAAATAAAATTTATAAAAAAAAATCTTTTAAGAAAACTGCTTGGTCTATTTTCCACCAACTGCAGCAGGAGGTCGGCTACGGTTTGACTGCGCTGTCGCGCGACGACTTCCCCGCCACAATGACCTGACAGCTGTCAGGCAGTCACTTCGACAGTTAACCCTACCGCCATTTAAAATACAAGTGGGTCCCTGCCCTGCCACCAATGCATCCAAAATCAGATGGAGCCCACCGGATACAACCTACGGTGTCCACGTGGTAGGTTCACGGCGCGAGCTTCACAGCCTTGGCAGACCCAGCTGCCACCACGTGGCACTCGTAACTGACGGGTCCCTCTTACCTCGCTTTCCGCTACGCGTACGTTAAAATTCACCAACGACGTTAAAGAAGAAACGGGGTCGTTTTGTTGCCTTTGGTCTGGTTAGTTGAAGGGTTTAGCGTACACCGCTTTCTTTTGTTAAAAGGTCGGTGTGGTCAGGGTCCCACTGCCACTGCAGTCACGCGGGCCCACCATGGAGATTTTGGTTTGGATGAGGTTGTCGGTAATCTCTAATCACTAACCACTAATCAGTATGGTTTGCTTAATATTGCTTCCAAAATCAATGGGTCGTTTTTAACCTTTTTGGTTTCAGGTACAACCTACCCTCCCCGGCCCTTTCATATTTAGTTTCGAATTTTAAAAAGTCATTGAGATTTTTTTTTTCTTTTTTCAATTCTCGGTAAATTTTTATTTACTTTTCACTCCTTAATTTGATGGAGAGAATCATATTATATATCACGATAAAGTGAGATGTAATGATACAAATTCAATCAAATGATAATCCACATTAAATTTAAATTCTTTTTAGTTAAGTATAGTACAAAAGACAATCCCATTATATGTAGTGACAGATCTAGAAATATTGTTCAAGGGTTGACGTATAAACAATGGCGGACTCAAGATTACTGGGCCAAGGGGTCACAGTGTAAAAGTGTAAAAAAAATTTTACGAAAAAAAAACACTAAAAAACAAAAAGATTGTACTTTTTTTTTCAAATCTCCAAAAATTTAGATATGAGTATGGCACTTATTCGGCAATTAAAATAATATATTTATTAATATTTTTTGTACTAACATATTAGTTGAATATATCACTAAGGTAAAAGGTTAAAAGGATTTTATTAATAAAGACCTACAAGTTATTAATAAAACTTTGGGCCATACTTCTTTATCATTAAGTTGAATCCACTATGATAAAAATTGGGCTTTTCTTGAAGCCACTATGAAAAAATTGGGCTTCGGTAATACTTGGATTAATATGGTTATGAGATGTGTATCCACGGTGTCCTTCTCGGTGAGTATCAACGGCAAACTAGGTAGCGCTTTTATTTCCTCACGTGGCCTTCGCCAGGGGGATCCATTGTCTCCGTACCTCTTCATTTTGATTAGTGAAGTCCTCTCTCGTAACGTGGATGATGCTGTGTGCCGTGGCTGCCTACATGGGGTCCGTCTTTGTCGGAATGGCCCAACCATATCCCATCTTTTATTTGCTGATGATTCACTATTTTTCATCCGTGCTACAACCCAGAACTGCAATGTCTTGAAAAAGATTGTCGGTGACTATTGTTTGGCTTCAGGCCAAATGCTCAATGTGGATAAATCATCCTTATTTTTAAGCCCAAATGTCTCTGATACGCTAGCTGGGGAAATCAGTACTACGCTCGGAGTATCCCCAACACTTGATCCTGGCACGTATCTGGGTCTGCCATCTATATGGGGGAGATCTAAAACTGTAGCTCTGAACTACATTGTTGATCGTATCCAGAAAAAAGTCCAGGGATGGAAGTCAAAATTCTTAAACCTTGATGGAAAGGAGGTTTTGATTAAGGCAGTGGCCTTGGCTGTGCCAACGTACCCAATGTCCTGCTTTAAATTCCCTTCGACCATTTGCAAACAAATTAATGGTGTTCTTAGCAAGTTTTGGTGGAGCAATGGTGATTCCAACGCTCACATTCACTGGAAGATGTGGGAGGTGTTATGCCTTTCAAAGGCTGAGGGTGGCTTGGGTTTCAGAGAATTAGAGAACTTCAATTTGTCCCTCCTGGCAAAACAGTGTTGGCGTATATGGAATAATCCTGATTCCTTTTGGGTGCGTGTCCTGAAAGCCAAGTATTTCCCAGATGGTGATTTCCTTAAAGCTAGAAGGGGGCCTTGCCCTTCTTGGGCATGGGCTAGCCTTTTGGAAGGTTGAAAGATTATGTCTGATGGGGCCATTTGGCAAATTGGCAATGGTATGAAAGTGAAGATCTGGAGCGATAACTGGCTGCATCACAAAACCACCCTGCGTCCCAAGCCTACCATCACTGTTTCCGGTCCTATTCCAACGTTGGTTAATGATCTCATTGATCGTGATTTGAGAGAATGGAATTTGGCAAGCATTTCAAATGTCATTGATCCTGCTGTTACAAACCTAATTCGCGTCATTCCTCTACGCAATCTCACTCGCGAAGATACTCTGATTTGGCCTTGGAATAATGATGGCCTGTTTTCTGTTCGGAGTGGTTACCATTGGGCAATGGAAAATTTGGAGGCTGTGTGTAGTGTGCCGGAACACCACTCCCACCAAGAGGAAAAAAAATTATGGAAGTCAATTTGGAACATGAAAGTCATTCCAAAAATTAAACTTTTTTTCTGGAGGGCTCTGACCAATTCCCTGCCCACCCTAAGAAACTTGTTTCATCGTAGAATAAGGGCTAATCCAGTTTGCTCTTTTTGTAACTCTAGTGATGAGTCAGCCGAACATGCTATTCTCCTGTGTCCCTGGACTGCTTGTGTTTGGTTTGGTATCCCTTTAAACTACTGCGTGAATGCACAAAGCGTAACTTCTTTTGACAGATGGCTCCAGGGAGTTACTGCCTGCTTGGCTCTTTTTGAAGGGAGGAATAAGGAAGTTCTTGTCTTGGTGGGTATTACTTGTTGGGAAATCTGGAAAGAGAGGTGCTCTGCTCTTTTTGAAGGCCGATCCCCCTATCCTTATTCTGTTATTAGGAGAGCTCTTTCTTTATGGGGAGAAATGTGTCCTACTTTGGAAGCTATTACATGTCCTGCTCCCTCAGCTTCTCATCCCCATGCTCTCTGGAAGGCTCCTCCTCAACCTTATGTTAAGGTAAACGTGGATGGAGCATGGCACAAGAACTTTATGCAGGGCGGTGTGGGTTGCTGTCTTCGTGATTCTGAAGGTAGAATGTTGGCAGGTTTGAGTAAGGCTTGTCTCAGAAACTCTGCAGTCGAGGTGGAAGCCGAAGCTGTTTTGAAGGGGTTACTGTTAGCAAAAGAGGAAAACTGTCAGAAGATTATACTTGAAAGCGATTCAATGGATGTTATCTCTTGTATGAGAAACGAAAATCTGCGTGGCAACTGGAGAATTATCCCTCTCATTTTGGAAATCAGAAGGCTTTCTTCGTGGTTCATCTCCATTAAGTGGGAATGGATTTCTTGCCAAGCAAATCAAGCTGCCCATGCTGCAGCAGCTCTGTCAAATATGAGGGTGCGAACTATACGTTGGGCCTCACAGCCTCCTCCCTCATTGGTTCTGGTTTTGGCTAAGGATGGGTTGCCATGCCCCCCTAGCAATTAATTTTCTGTTATAAGGTAGTTTACTTGTTGTATTTCCATTTCACTCTCCTGGGAGGTATCGATGGCCTCGTTGTGATTTACTTGTATTGCTCTGGGGATCTCCCCTATTTTCTGTTAGTTGTTGCCTTTGCCTTTTCGGGCTTTTCAATGAAGTATTTTCAGACCAAAAAAAAATACATGGCCCAAACTTTTTAAAAAACCTACAAGCTAATGAAACGGTGAGTTTCAACTAAAATGAGGAATAAGCTAGGGTAACTTCACGACATCATCTTCTTCATTGCCTCTGCAACCCAAAAAAAATCCATGCTTTCATTGGACGGCTGGTTAAAGTTTGGCATTTATCAACACCTGCCCCTTTTCTAGGTTTCTTCACTTCACGTGCACCTATTAACCAGCATTGCGACATTATTTACTCTATTTTTAACAATCATGTTCTTTGTAACATATAATCCATAATGATATCATCTAGATCAAAACAAAATCCAATTAAGTCTACACCACTGACCAATAAGTTGAAATAAAAAGGGAGATTTACTATGAGTATTGCTAAACGAACCCTAAAATTAACTAAGTACACCATACTATCAAAGTATTTATTGAATTACTAATTTACCATAATATAAAATGACTAAAAAAGATATATTGAATTGTGAAACATAACACCATATATTTTTAGGGTGTACTCAGTTAATTTTAGAATTCGTATAGCAACACTCTTTAAAAACCATCTAAAACATGACACCGCATATTTTTCCCTACACTTTTCTTCTTCTCCATCTTAGCTTTTGGACAGCTAAACTCTTTTATCTCTCAAAACCAAGCCCAACAAAACCTCTTCTCCTTTCAATCACTCTTCTTTCCCTACACTCTTCTTCTTCTCCTTTCAATCCCTAAAATATTTGAAGCTCCTCGTAAAAACTTGTTTTCTCCAATTTCCCTCCTCAAAAGTAGCCACACGAATCATTTTGGGGCCTATATCAAAAAATAAAAAAATAACCTCAAAAGTTTTTTTTTGGTTTTAGATGTTGGATTCATTAATAATAATAAAAATCAGACGGCATGAAATACTATGTTTCTTGGGAAAAAAATTTAAAACCCTGAAGCGGCAAAATTGAGTATTTTAATAAGAGTGATTCCCTTATTTAGTATTACTTATTATTTGATTTAGCATCAAGAGGAATGAAATCAAAGAATTATGTTGAACGTTTTTGTAAGATTTATGATATATCACAAAGAACAATATTGTCCAGATTTTACAGTTAAAATTTTTGAGAATCAAAGTATGGAGAAAAGGGGATCATAGGGAGATCGATGAATGATGTTGGTTTTTTTTTAAATTTTGGTGAGATAGAGTGTATTAGGATGTACCATGGGTATGGTAGTTAAATATGGTGTACTTAGTTAATTTTACATTTTGATTTAAATATTAAGGTGTACTTAGATCATAGGGTGTACTCAGTTAATTTTAGAGTTCATTTAGCAGTGTATCCAATATAGGAGCCCAAATTATAAAAAAACTCTATATGAAATGGACTTTAGAAACACACTCAAAGCCCATTTACAACATAACAAAAAGATTTTTAACTTCTTTTAAATTACAAAACTGACATTGATTTCTTAAAACAAACCCAACCCCAAAACCTAAGCCCAAAACACTTGATAGGGCATCAAAGTAATTTAATAATCAAAATTAAATTCAATAGGGCCAGCTGTCATTTTTTGGATTTTTTTTTGGGTTTGTTTATAGAAATTAAATGTTGTAGAATTTATTTATAGTTTTAGTGCTAAGAATGGGTATATAACTAAGTATCTCAAATAAAAAAGCAACTCAAATTCGAAGGACAACCTGCATATAGATGTCCTAAGTAGAGAAGGCATTTGGTGAGGTAGAACATATGCATGCATGGTGGATTTTTAATATTATTTGAATATAAAACGGAAAATTGATTAGAAATGTCTTGTGTTTCACCCAAACATAGACACTGTGATTTTTTTTTAAAATTGTTTTTTCTCGATTTTTGTTTATTGATAAGAGTAGTTTAGAACATTATTCATTACTATTAGGCCATTACCCGAGTCTCTATTGTCCCATTTTGAGTTTTTACTTTTCCAGAGTTATTACTCGTATAAAGAATTTAACATTTTCACGTTTAATACTCGTATTATACGTATATATGTATTTTTCATGTTTAATATACACTTATTTTTTACAAAATTTTCAATAATACACACAAAATTCACGTATTATCCCTCAAAATATTGGTAACTTAATAAACCTACACACTTTATACTTGCATTCCAATTAACTTTCTGGTTTGATTCCCAAGGAAATAGGGAACTTGAAATCTCTTATAGATCTAGAGTTGGGCTACAACAATTTAAGTGGTCTCATCCCTCCAAATTTTGGTAACTTAGTAAACCTAAACACTTTGTACTTCAATTCCAATCAACTTTCTAGTTTGATTCCAAAGGAGATAGGGAACTTGAAATCTCTTGTAGATCTAGAGTTGTCCTACAACAATTTAAGTGGTCTCATCCCTCCAAATACTGGTAACTTAATAAAGCTAAACACTTTGTACTTGGGTAAAAATTTGCTTTCTGGTTTGATTCCCAAAGAGATATGGAACTTGAAATCTCTTGTAGATTTAGAATTGGGCAAGAATAAACTCAATAGTTCAATTCCAGCCTCATTTGCTAACTTGAGCAACTTGGAGATCTTATTCCTACGCGATAACCAACTTTCCGGCTCCATTCCCCAAGAGTTAGAGAATCTCAAGAATTTGACTGAACTTGCGTTGGATACAAAACCAATTGTCAGGTTTTTTTTGTTTTTTTGTTTTTGGTTTTTTTGTTTTTGGGTCGGAAGTGGATTTCATTAAACACTCACAAAAAGGATATACCAAAAAGTGAGACCCAACCAACTGAGTTCAACAACAAAGCGAAAAAGCTATAGGCCCAAATAAAATGCAATAGAACCAGCAACAAGTTAAAAACCCATAAGGCATTAAGCCCACACAAACCAATTGTCTGGATATTTGCTCCCAAATATTTGCCAAGGTGGAAAACTCACAAACTTGTCAGTACAAACAAACTATTTGACTGGTCCAATCCCCAAAAGCTTGAAAAATTGCATGGGCTTAGTGGGAGTCCGTCTTGACCGAAACCAATTGACAGGTAATATATCTGAAGACTTCGGTCTTTATCCAAATCTTGATTTTATGAATATAAGCCACAACAACTTGTATGGAGAAATCTCACACAACTGGGGACAATGCCCAAAGCTGAAAACCATACTAAAGGCAGGAAATAACCTTTCCGGTAGCATACCACCTGAGATAGGCAACACAACCCAAATTCATGTGCTGGACCTTTCTTCAAATCATTTAGTGGTTGAGACAGATGTGAAGATTGCCATTAACGACATTGTCTTTGGCAATGAGGCTTTTGGGGTTGTTGGGGGGATTATCAACGACATCCACATGTTATCTAGAAATTTTGATCTCTTTCTTTTGTCTTTGTTCCTAGATTGTGTAATATTGTGGCTGATAGACTTGCTAAGTTTGTTTTAGGTAGTGTGTTTGTAGACGTTTGGCTTGAAGAGGGTCCTCCATGGCTCAATGTGTTTCTTCAAGTTGACGTTGATATTCTAGAGTTGTCATGAATTTTTGTTTGTAGCCTTTATGGAATGTATGTCACTCTTTTTCCTTCGTCCCAAGTTTTGTCCCGTTGGGTTTTCCTGAGCAAGGTTTTAATGAGGCCACGTTTGTTCGCTCGAGTTTATAACTTTCATAATTTTAATGAAAATTTACTACTTCCTCTATAAAAAAAGACATTTTTTTGGCATTTTGAATATTTCACAATTTTATGCCTTTTACTAATATATATATATATATATATATAATTTAAACTTCAATGTAAAAAATTTAAAACCTAAGGCTCATGCAACATTCACTTCTAATGAAAAATTCGAAATCTTAAGAAGTGGAATTTCACATGTTCCAATGTTATATTGAGAAATCTAAAAGTTATCCAAATGTTTTTTGAAAATATTAAATGAAAATATTAATATATATTAAAAAGGAAAACAATTGGGCCGGCCAACCGGAGACAAATGTGCCTAAGTCGGTAAAATACCACCTGGGAACTTTTTTTTGATCGAGAAAGGATTGAGTAAGAAACCCCACAAAAGGGGCAAGAGAAATACAACCGCACAGTAGCAACGTAGGAAGAAGCCACCAGAGAGCCAGGTAGAAAAAAAAACCAAAAGCAGAAAACCCAAAATAGTAATACAAAACTAAAGTCGCAAGCAAAAAGGCATAGGGAACAGAGACACACACCAGCAAGAGAATTAAGGAGGACCAGGAACTTGAAATGCGAATTTCGGATCTTCTAGACCAACGCATCTCTCTTTTGAATATAGCGTTTGCATCCTTGAATCCCAGTCCCCAGAGTCGTCCAACAATGAAGAAAGTTTCTAAACTCCTCTCATCAACTCAGAGGCTGCATTTGTCAAAGCCATAATTACATATGATTACATGTGGTGAATTGCTTGCTCTTGATGGTTTCACTGCCTGATCAGGACATGCGCTGCTTTTCATTTGAGTCTGCCTTGTTCTAATTCTTCTTAGATGTTTGGATTATTGTAATCTATTTCATGCCCACTTTTGCCTTTTGGCTCAAGATTTAATAAGGGTTATTGGTATTTAGAAATGTTTTTTGTAATATATGTATATGTATGTCTCATTTTGCCACCTAAAATATTATTTGAGCAACAAGAAGTTGGCCCAAGCAATTCCATTGGATTTGGGGAAACTAGTTCAATTGAGCAACCTGGATTTAAGTCACAACTCACTAGAAGGTAGGATACCATCAGAAATAAGCACCATGCAGAGTTTGGTGATGCTAAATCTTTCCCACGATAATATTTCGGGTTCCATACCATCAAGTTTTGAAGAGATATGCGGCTTGTTGTACGTTGACATATCCTACAATCACTTGGAAGGTCCCCTTCCAAACATCACTGCATTTTGAGAAGCTCCGCCGGAAGCATTAAAAGGGAACAAAGGATTGTGTGGCAAAGTCGGAGCTCTACCACCCTGCAATTAATGTGGCTCAAAAGAGCACCGAAAACAGGTATTTGGAATCACATTTTCCCTTCTAGCAGTATTTGTACTTCTATCTGCTTTCCTTGCAATTGTCTCTGTAGTGCAAAGAAAGAAACATCAGGATAAAGAACAAAACAACATGCATGAAGAGATTTTCTTTTCAGTTTTAAATTTTGATGGAAAATCAATGTATGAGGAAATCATAAGAGCAACAGAAGATTTTGATTCCATATATTGCATTGTGAAGGGAGGACATGGAAGCGTCTACAGAGTGAATTTGTCATCAAATGAATTTGAGGAGATTCTGAGGAGAAACTTGGCTCTACAGTCTGCACACAACTTAATCAAATGAATTTGAGGAGATTGTGAGGTAAACAAGTTGATGAAAACAAAACAAACCCATCAATTACGCATTCCTATTCCTATGTACAGTAAACGACAATTTCATCTTTAGTTCTTCTACAATTTATAGATGAGATCCGAAAGACTTTATTTATTTATTTTTATTTTATATAAATAGCTCTGCTCATGTTTGGCGAGAGATTAAAAAAGGAAAAAAGAAGAAGTTGAAGATGGACTATTAATGCTGCTAAGGGGTAAAGCCACGTGAAAGGCACTTGAGTTTGATTTCTGAGTCGCCTAAGGGAACTGAGAACGGCCATGCACCAAGAAAATAATAATAATAATAATAATAATGTGCCAAGCATTATAGCTAGCGATGAGCTCTCACTTCCATCCATTTCATTTCATTAATTCAATCCAGAAAATGCAAAATTGACATTTAACTATAACTATAAAGAACGAGGGACAAAGACTTTGACTCCAGCCATTGTAAGAACAACTACTGAGACAAAGACTTTATTACAATTCTAACAATGGCAGCAAGCTCACTCAAGTCTTTTGGCTCACGCTTTAATAAGGGTTATCAGTATTTAGAAATGTTTTTCGTAATGCATGTATGTTTTGCCACCTAAAAGAATATGAATATGATGCTATTAGCCCGACCCTGTCAAGCATTCAATTAAAACTTCACTTGCAGTGCTCTGTTTTAATGTAAAGAATAGTGATTCCTCAACAAAACAAAACAAAATAGTGAACGTACACTCAAAATACAACAAACTCATAACTTAGAGGACAATTAATCAACATTTGCGAAAGGTTGTGCTTTTCGGTGGAAGGCTCGTGATCAGCTTTGGACTTGAAGATGACCAGCCAAACAAATGGAATAGGGAGTTGGAATAAATTGTACACTGGGAGCATACACGCAAGAACATTGTGCTGGATTCTATATGAGGCACGTGTTTCAGTCTCTGGAACCTGGACTCAACTAATTGGGTCGCCATTGCAGTAACATATGGATAGCTAGCTTTGGTATCAAGAAGCAGGGGAAGTCTTCTCTCTTGTTGTGACGATAATACGTTGACATGAACGTCAATCCACAATCTCGTCTAACAATGAAACAGGTTTTTATTACAGGTACTCTGTTTTAAAAGTTCTTATTTTAGTCATCAATTTGGTCTTTGTTGTCACATTCCAACAAAACTTTGTTAAAATTGGTCACGTATCATCCCCTGACCAACTTATTTCATCAAAATATAGCTCAATTTAGTCCTAGAACTCAAATTTTTGCTCAACAAATGATTTCTATTCAAGATTTCACATTTAGGTTTCGTCAAGGAGAGTTCACAGCCTTGTTCAGCAACATATGTATTTTTTTTTTTTTCCTTTGTTTTTCAAGGCTTCAATTCATCATCCAAACAGATCGTTAAGGATCACATTAATTGATTGGAAAGTTTGAGAATTCAAATGAGGACTTTTGAAAAATTCAAGGACCATTCATGACAAAAACCCTTCTTGGTATCTTTCTATTCGAAGAGGCTGCATTTGTTGAAGCTTGTTACCTATGATATACCATGTGACATAGTGTCAAGCATTCAAGTGGGACACTTCTGAACCCTTATGTCACGCAAATACTTTCCATAAATTTCATTTCAGTAATTCCAATATATTTTTCTCCCAAAGACATCAAAGTCGAGGAACCATTGATCAGAGAAAATTCTATGAGAAAGCTGTGCATACTAAAAAACAATCATAATTGAATTAGTTTTCCAGTCATGTGCGTTGAGTTGAATAGCTCCTTTAATAAGTTATCTTGTCAATTCTTAGTTAAAATCGATGAACACGCTCATTTTAAGGCCTCTCAAACTCTCAGTAGCAGCCAAGTCAAGTGATAAAGACAACGAATATGTAGGTTTACTAATTTGGAAGATAGACAATTTCATCTAATTAGCATAAGGCCAAAGACCAAAATGTAGTACCTAATTTTACAAAAATGTTATTAAAAAATATCAAAATTACACACAATGCCACTCATTCTAAGGCAATCATACTATGCCACATGTCCATATCTAGCCAACCACCTCCACTGGACTCCCGCTGCCGTCCACCACCTGCGGACTCCCCTGTCGGCCACCTGCCACCACCACCGTAGGTCGCCACCGCCCGTCGCCGGCTTGCCACCATCTGCAGGGGACCAACTCCGTTGCCCTTTATTCACCTTTAAAAAAAAAAATTGTGTCATTGAAGGACTCAAACTTTGACCCTCAAAGGAGGAAGGCTCACTCACAAACCACTACACCAAACTTGATTTTGTAATATTTATTCAGTTGTACATTTATATAAACAATCAACGGTTTTAAAAATAAAATAAAAAATCATTTCAACACTTATTCACACAAAAACTGCAAATAAAAACAGAAACGGCAACAAAAATACAATGTATATATCAATTATGTTAAAAAAAACAAAAACAAAAACAAAAACGAAAACAACTACAAAAACAAAAATTAATTTTATTGAAGCAAAATGGAGCAACAAAGATGAAAGTAATAAAATGGAAACTGCGATGCAGAAACGGAAACTGAAATGTAGAAGCGGAAACTGCAATGCATAAACGGAAATTGCAATACAAAAATGAAAACTACAATACATAATAGGAAACTGCAATGCTGAGTTTGGGCAAAAATGCTCAGCTCTAGAGTTAAACAAAATAAAAGAATACTTTTTTTTTATTCAAGACATGTTGGTAAAGTACTTTGTTTCTGGCAATGCAGTTTCCAAAAGTCCAATTTTGAGTTCCCTTGCTCTTGGATAGTTCTACTCTTCTCTTTCCCTCCCAATTCCACATCTGGGTAGCCTCTACTCTTCAAATTGATGAGGTTGAAGGCCAAAGAAAGAGCAAAAATCCAATTGTAATTAAATGAAAACTGCAATGCAGTTTCCGAAACTGCAATGCAGATTCCAAAAGTCCAATTTTGAGTTCCCTTGCTCTTGGGTAGTTCTACTCTTGTCTTACCCATCCAATTCCTCATCTAGGTAGCCTCTACTCTTCAAATTGGTGAGGTTGAAGGCCAATTAAAGAATAAAAAATTAAATTGCAATTAAATGAAAACTGTAATACAATTTCCAAAACTGCAATGCAGTTTCCAAAAGTCCAATTTTGAGTTCCCTTGTTCTTGGGTAGTTCTACTCTTCTCTTGCCCACCCAATTCCTCATCTAGGTAGCCTCTAATCTTCAAATTGGTGAGGTTGAAGGCCAAGGAAAGAACAAAAATCAAATTATAATTAAATGAAAACTGCAATGCAGTTTCCAAAAGTCCAATTTTGAGTTCCCTTGCTCTTGGGTAGTTCTACTCTTCTCTTGCCCACCCAATTCCTCATCTTGGTAGCATCTACTCTTCAAATTGGTGAGGTTGAAGGCCAAGGAAAGAGCAAAAATCCAATTGTAATTAAATGAAAACTGCAATGCAGTTTCCTAAACTACAATGTAGTTTGTGCAAAACTACAATGCTGAACCTGTACAGTGTAGTTTTGCAATACCATTTCCAAATCAAAAAGTTCAAACCCATGCACCAAAAGCTAAACCAAAAAGTTTTGCAATACCATTGACAATAGATATCAACAACTAAAATAATAAGGATGCAAGCTGGAGATTTAAACAATAGATCAAAATATTGATGTGAAGTCTGATATGAAATTAATATCAAAAGAACTGAGCAACTAACAAAAAGACATTAACGAAAACTGGAAAATCGACTCCCTACAAACAGCTTCATTTCAGTACTACCTGATTGATGCTACAGATATCAATACATCATCTTTTTCCAAGACTCAGCGTAAAAGCCTTGAAAATTCAAACGTGCAAAATCTGACCTGAAGGTTATATACAAAATTAATAAGCAATTCACGGAATCAAATGACCAATTGAGAAGCCACTTTCACTTAAAAGAAATGGCAACAAATTGGAAGAGGAAGTGATAGTTCATATATAACTGTACCCAAAGATACACTTTCAGAGCCCTACTTATCAGAGCAATGAATAGCCATTACTGGCCAAAGAAAAGGATAATCTCATTAAAAGGTGTGAGGTGAACATGTGGAAAGGATAGAAAACACCAACCATAAACAAGACTGAAATTGTGTAGAAATAAAAAAATTATACAAAAGTAACGTCATTAGTTAAATGTGCACCCATATCAGTTCAATATTTCTTAAAATAAAAAATTTCATAAGCTTCACAAAGAGAGAGAAAAACACAAGTCAGAAGATTATCAGGGCTTGACAAAATATTAATGTGAAGTCTGATATGAAAATAATATCACAAGAACTGAGCAACTAACAAAAAAACATTACACGAAGACTGGAGATTGGAACCCTGGATGTTCCAATCTTTATTATTCAAAGGGATGAGCCGCAAGTCAATCGATCTTGAACCCAGCAAGATAGCAATCGTAATGCCCTTCATCTTGAGCTAGAAGACCTTGGAGGTGCTGGTGAATGTCGAAGGGATGAGTCGCGAGTCAAGCAGCTTGAGAATTCCATTGCAAATCGGTCTCTCGATCTTGGATCAATGATCGCAGATCGTGGCGATGTGGTCGTCCTTGCTGTAGAGAGAGAGGGAGAGAGAGAGAGAGAGCAACGAATTTGGGTCAGGCTTTTAAACAAAAAAGGTATAATTGTCATTTCAGTAATTAATGTAACCGCCAACGAATTTGGGCCTCCACTTTGGCCAAATCCAAAACAAAATTCAATTCCTAGGTATTAAAACCAAAACAAAAATACTGTTTGTCTCAAATACTAATTAGCAAGGATAATTATGTCTAATAACTAATTTTTCTAGATCATAACATAGTGAGAAACAATATTTCGAACAACAAAGAAAGTGTTCTCTCTATTTTTATTTTAATTATTTTATTTTTTGTGCATATGTTTTTGTAATTTTATTTTTCAGTTTTTAATTATTTATAAGATATAAATTGACCAATTTGCCCTCATAGTGCCCACATGGTATCTTTTAACTGTAAAATAGTTGGAATGTGAGGAAATTTAGCACTAGGGGGGGAGATTGACTAAAAAAAATGTTTGTATCCTGAATTTTCTCAAATAAAAAAATAATGGGCAAAAGGAAAGTTATGTACAAGTTCAGGGAAATTTCAAAACTTTAGCCTTTTTTTTTAACACTCCAAATAACCGTGTATTTTGTGTTGATAAATTAAAAAATTAAGTTGACTATTAATTATGGGTAGTGGCATCCGAGGAGCACAATAATCAAATGAATTTATCCAATAAACAACAAATCAAACCACCAATTACGCATTCCTATTCCTATGTACAGTAAATCAAATCAATAAACGACAATTTCATCTTCATTTCCAACTTTCACTGAAAACTGAAAACAATTATAGAACAACTTATAAACAATTTTCAATTAATCTTTTATTTGAAAATTGAAAACAATTACGAAACAAGTTTCATATTTTTAATTTTTTACAAATTAAAATTGAAAGCTAAAATGGTTATCAAACGAGCCCTTAGAATGTCACAAATGTTAAATCAAAATTTTGAATAGTAAATTGGGGTAAAATGTATACAACTATCATTACTTTGAAGGGTTTAGGGTTTAAAACACATTCAAGATTTTAGGCTAATCACTTGTGGAATGCTCATGAAATCATGTCATATAAGCCACAAGTTAGCTCATAATAAATTCACCAGGGACTAAACCTGGATAAAAGTGCAGATTATGACACAAACAGTGCGTGAAAGTCAAAGCGCTTGAATCAAAATTTAGAATGTCACCAATGTTATCAAAATTTGAAAATCTTTTTTATCACCATTTTAACACAAGGTGTATCCCAACCACTATTCTCAACACTTGATATGTATCTATGGGCATAACCATAGTTAACTCTTTGATTTGTATTTGTGGAACCAACTATGATTATACCCATAGACACATGTCAAGTGTTGAGAAATATAATGATGATATACCTTTAGTTAAAGTGGTGAGTAAAAATACACTCATTAAAATTTAGGAAATGGGACTAACATGTATACAACTATCATTACTTTGAAACTTATTCTTCACGTGATGACTTAGGTCAGGAAGAAAGAATAAAAAGAAGGATGGAAATGAATGGCGTGGATGAAATTACATTGACGAGTTATTCCTCTTCAGATTTGTTGGGGACAGCTGGAGTGGATTAATTTTTCCAGTAAAGCAAAGCAAGAAGCATGTTTTGTTTGAATTGTTCTAGTCGTGACTCGTGACAGGACTACACCATTTCCTCTGTCTGGCTAGCGCACTTCCAGGGTTAATCATGCTTTGAGAAAATGCAAAAGTTGCAATTCCAACTTAAAAAAAAAGGGACAGAGACTTCCAGTGTGAAAACCCCAAACCGTTGTTACTTAGAAATGTTTTTCCTTGTGAGAGGGGAAAAAAAAAACAATAATTTCATGGTCCAATGCGATGGTTTAACGTTATAATTATTTTATTTTTTGTGCATATGTTTATTTTATTATGTATAAGATATAGATTGACCAATTTGTCCTCAGAGTGCCCACATGGTATCTTTTAACTGTAAAATAGTTGGAATGTAAGGAAATTTAGCACTAGAGGGTAGATTGACTATAAAAAAAAGAAGTTTGTATCCTGAATTTTCTCCAATGAAAAAACAACGGGTAAAATGAAAGTTATGTACAAGTTCAAGGGGAATAACTGATTTAATTTTTTTTATTTTTTATTAATAAAAAAATCTGAAGAAATAGCTTTCATTCAACTACAAAGCAAGCAAGCTAATATATTACCGATGTATTTTGTGTTGATAAATTAAAAAATTAAGTTGACTATTAATTTGAGGTGTAAGAATCAGTTCTTACACAACTTAATCAAGAGCACAAACAACAGGCTCTCATACAAATTAAGTTGATTTTGGCACAAGGAATAATCAAATGAATAATCAAAGGCTTCACATAGCCTTTTATTGAACATTAATGGCATCGGTAGTGGCATCGGAGGAGCACAATAATCAAATGAGTTTATCCATATAAACGGCAAAACAAACCATCAATGACTCTCTCACTTCCATCCATTTTATTTCATTAAACTATAACTATAACTATAAAGAACGAAAGACAAAGACTTTGACTCCAGCCATTGTAAGAACAACCACTGAGACCAGGACTTTATTACAATTCTAATAATGGCAGCAAGCTCACTCAGGCATTCAAGTGGGTGGGTTTAGGCATTCAACCACTGAGACCAGGACCCTAAACGAAAGACTTTTCATTACTTAAAAGAAAACTGATTATAGATGAGATCCGAAAGACTTTTCAATGCTCAACTGAACCCCAAAGACTAACCCACACTATATATAAGTAGTGAGGCACGACCCATACAATATACTTATACCACACAAACAATGACCATGATATCTTTAACTTCCGCTAAACTATGCTTCCTCCCTTATTGCCTTGTCATCTTGTTGTTTGTTTCAGCACCAAATTGGGTTGCTTTTCCTTCTGCTACTTCTACTTCTGATACTGAAGCAAAGGCTCTTCTCAAATGGAAAGCTAGCTTATTTCCAAATCAAGCCCTCAATAACCTCACTTGGTACGACCCTCTCACTCATAATATTAATGCCACCAATTCTTCCAGCACCAATCCAAAACCAAGAACAAGCCCATGCACTTGGACTGGTGTTTCATGCAACGCAGCTGGAAGTGTCAGCAAGCTAAACCTTTCCACTTGTGGTATTCAAGGTACGCTACATGAGTTGTCATTCTTGTCCTTCCCTAATCTTGAATATCTTGACCTCAGCTTGAACAAACTTTTTGATGCCATCCCACCTCAAATCAGTAACCTCTCCAAACTCCACTATCTTGATCTCTCTCAGAATAACTTGTCTGGGAGAATCCCACCAGAAATCAATCTCTTGAGAAATCTTACCCTTCTTTGTCTCTATGACAATAAACTTTCTGGTTTGATTCCCAATGAGATAGGGAGCTTGAAATCTCTTGTAGATCTAGACTTGTCCGACAACAATTTTAGTGGTCTCATCCCTCCAAATATTGGTAACTTAATAAAGCTAAACACTTTGTACTTGTTTTCCAATCAACTTTCTGGTTTGATTCCCAAGGAGATAGGGAACTTGAAATCTCTTGTAGATTTAGACTTGTCCGACAACAATTTTAGTGGTCTCATCCCTTCAAATATTGGTAACTTAATAAAGCTAAACACTTTGTTCTTGGAAGAGAATCAACTTTCTGGTTTGATTCCCAAGGAGATAGGGAACTTGAAATCTCTTGTAGATCTGGAGTTGTCCGACAACAATTTTAGTGGTCTCATCCCTCCAAATATTGGTAACTTAATAAAGCTAAACACTTTGTTCTTGTTTTCCAATCAACTTTCTGGTTTGATTCCTAAGGAGATAGGGAACTTGAAATCTCTTGTAGATCTAGACTTGTCCGACAACAATTTTAGTGGTCTCATCCCTCCAAATATTGGTAACTTAATAAAGCTAAACACTTTGTTCTTGTTTTCCAATCAACTTTCTGGTTTGATTCCTAAGGAGATAGGGAACTTGAAATCTCTTGTAGATCTAGACTTGTCCGACAACAATTTAAGTGGTGTCATCCCTCCAAATATTGGTAACTTAATAAAGCTAAACACTTTGTACTTGCATTCCAATCAACTTTCTGGTTTGATTCCCAAAGAGATAGGGAACTTGAAATCTCTTGTAGATCTGCAGTTGTTGTCCAACAATTTAAGTGGTCTCATCCCTCCAAATATTGGTAACTTAATAAACCTAAACATTTTGTACTTGAGTGAAAATCAACTTTCTGGTTTGATTCCTAAGGAGATAGGGAACTTGAAATCTCTTGTACGTCTGGAGTTGCCGTCCAACAATTTAAGTGGTCCTATACATCCAAATATTGGTAACTTAATAAAGCTAAACACTTTGTGCTTGTTTTCCAATCAACTTTCTGGTTTGATTCCCAAGGAGATAGGGAACTTGAAATCTCTTGTAAATCTAGCCTTGTCCGACAACAATTTAAGTGGTCCTATACATCCAAATATTGGTAACTTAATAAAGCTAAACTATTTGTACTTGGAATCCAATCAACTTTCTGGTTTGATTCCTAAGGAGATAGGGAATTTGAAATCTCTTCTAGATCTAGCGTTGTCCTACAACAATTTAAGTGGTCTCATCCCACCTGAGATTGGCAACGCAACCCAAATTCATGTGCTGGACCTTTCTTCAAATCATTTAGTTGGGTTGATCCCAAAAGAATTCGGGAAGTTGTCTTCGTTGGTGAACTTGTGGTTGAATGGAAATCAACTTTCGGGTCGTATACCTTCGGAATTCGAATCATTCAATGATCTTGAATATCTTGACTTGTCAACAAACAAATTGAATGAGTCAATTCCGAGCATTCTAGGTGACTTGCTCAAATTACACTATCTGAATTTGAGCAACAACAAGTTATCTCAAGCAATTCCATTTAAGTTGGGGAAGTTAGTTCAACTGAATGACTTGGATTTAAGCCATAACTCACTTGAAGGTAAGATACCATCAGAAATGGGCAGTATGCAGAGTTTGGTGACACTTGATCTTTCCCACAACAATCTTTCGGGTTCCATACCATCAAGTTTCGAAGACATGCGCGGCTTGTTGTATGTTAACATATCCTACAATCACTTGGAAGGTCCCCTTCCCAACATCAGTGCATTTCAAGAAGCTCCCCCAGAAAGATTGAAAGAGAACAAAGGATTGTGTGGCAAAGTTGGAGCTCTACTGCCACCCTGCAATGCACATGACTCAAAAAAGGACCACAAGTTAATATTCTCTCTTCTAGCGGTATTTGTACTTCTATCTGCTTTCTTTACAATTGTCTTTGTAATAGTGCAAAGAAAGAAGAAGCATCAAGATACTAAACAAAACCACATGCATGGAGAAATTTCCTTTTCGGTTTTAAATTTTGATGGAAAATCAATGTATGAGGAAATCATAAGGGCAACAGAAGATTTTGATTCCACATACTGCATTGGGAAGGGAGGACATGGAAGCGTCTACAGAGTGAATTTGTCATCTGGAAACGTAGTGGCCGTGAAGAAACTTCATCTACTATGGGATGGGGAGACAGAATTTCAGAAGGAGTTCTTGAATGAAGTAAGGGCACTTAGTGAGATAAAACATCGAAATATTGTGAAGCTCTATGGTTTCTGCGCACATAAACGACACTCGTTTTTGGTGTATGAGTATCTTGAAAGAGGTAGCTTGGCCGCAATGTTGAGCAAAGATGAAGAAGCTAAAGAGTTGGGATGGAGTAAAAGGGTGAATATTGTTAGAGGCTTAGCTCATGCCTTGTCTTACATGCACCACGATTGCTTGCCACCAATTGTACATCGTGACATCTCAAGCAAGAACATTTTGTTGGATTCTGAATATGAGGCCTGTGTTTCAGACTTTGGCACAGCTAAGTTTTTAAATCCAAACTCAACCAATTGGACTGCCGTTGCAGGCACATATGGCTACATGGCACCAGGTAATATTGTGATTCCCTGTTCTCTGTATGTAACACTTTTAAGCTTTTGCTTTTAGACCAATGCTTCATTTTCACTTGTTTGATTTAGAAAATATAACTATTAGATATTTTTTTATGTGAATGATGATGAAAACTTCTCTTATTTAATTATTTTTCTTCTTCAACATCCAGCTTTTAATTCCTTTTTTTCTTCACCGTCCAGCTTTCATTAAGCTATCTTTTTTAGTTCTGAAAAAGAACCAAATTTCCTCGAATTTGTAGGTTGTGTGTTTCAATGAATTATTAATTTGATTGGGAAATTGTGACTTCCTCACTGTCTTTTTTCTGAGAAGCAATGTTTTGAACACTTCAATCTGAGTCTCTTATTATACGTGTGTACAATTGATGCAAGATACAATTTCTTCTATGTGCTTTTTCTGAGCAGAGCTTGCATATACAATGGAAGTAAACGAGAAGTGCGATGTTTATAGCTTTGGAGTTGTCACACTGGAAATAATTATGGGAAGCCATCCAGGAGATTTTTTTTCATCTTTATCATCAGGGGCATCATCTTCGTCCTCATCTGCATCATCTGCCCCTGAAATGCCAATTTCGGAAGTTCTGGACCAACGGATCTCCCCACCCACAAAACAAGAAGCAGGGGAGGTGGTCTCTCTGGTGAAGATCGCATTTGCATCCTTGAATCCCAGTTCGCAGTGTCGTCCAACAATGAAGAAAGTTTCTCAACTCCTGTCATCAACTCAGAGGCTGCGTTTGTCAAAGCCATTACATATGACAACATGTGGTGAATTGCTTGCTGTTGATGGTTTCACTGCCTGATCAGGACATGTGCTGCTTTTCATTGGAGTCTGCCTTATTCTAAGTTTTCTTAGATGTTTGGATTATTGTAATCTATTTCATGCCCACTTCTGTCTTTTGGGTTATTAGTATTTAGAAATATTGTTCGTAATGTATGTATGTATCAATTTGCCCTGTTAAGCATTCCATTAAAACTTCACTCGCAGTGCTCTTTTTTAATGTACAGAATAGTGATTCCTCAACAAAAAAAAACAAAAAAACAAAAAAAAAGGTGAGCGTGCACTCAAAATACAACAAAATCATAAATTAGAGGACCGATAAAGTGATGATTCAACATTGAAAAACAAAATGAATACTTTATCTAGGATGTTTTAAAGTTTGTTTATCCCTGTGAGGGAAAACAAAATGAAATAAGACAAGGGGTTTTGTTTAGTAATTTTATATACTCCGTGTAGCAGCAAATACAGACGAGAATTTGAAATTGTAAACCACCCCAAAATCATTAATAAACAATTCAATTGTGAAAATTAAATGACCAAGACCAATATAGCAGGAACAAATATAGTATTTGACGTGGCGATAATTGTAAGGGCCATACTGTATTACTATATATGGATAGCTACCTACCAAACACCATATATATAATAGAAACAGAGAGGTTCATAGACCAGAGCCATTATCGATTTCGATTTTCTTACACAGAGAGAGAGAGAGAGAGAGAGAGAGAGAGAGAGAGAGAGAGAGAGAGAGCTATAGTGACGATGTCGACCCTTAGAGTTCCTCCCGAATCCGAAGACTGAGCAGCTAAAAAAGGCCTTCAAAGGTTCCTTCTTTATTATTTTTCTGATCTTTTACTCCCTCGCATCATTTCTTGTTCTCATCATAAACCACCCCATATTTTGTAATTGGCTTTATGATTGATGATTGATCTATCCCATTTCACCGATCCGATTGTTGGTGTTAGATACAACGTAAATGATCTGATAATGTAAAAAGGATCCTTTTTGTTTTTTGTTTTTCATTTCATTCTGCTAATTCTCTTTTGACTCTCTCTGTCATCAATGATCAGATGCATCAGATTTGTGTTTTGTGTACATGAGGTTTGGTGGGTTGATGAAAGGGGCACCTTCTATAGTGCACCAGGTGCACCCATGCACCATTTGTCCTTTATGATGCTTTCATAGTTTTTAAAAAATTGGTTACCGGTTATACAAGTTATTAAGTTTCCACTTTTTGAAAATGTAATTGCACAAGGGTCATGCAATTATGCCCTTCCTGTTTGGCAATTGGCATATGATTGGATATGTTATTTTTCAATTGAGTTTATTCTTTTTGACTCACGATGACATGCTTATGAATTTCGCAATGGTATTTGTTTGCTTTTATAAATCTAAAGTTACCGTTTTAGACTATTTTTTTATGAGGACTGTTTGACCTTTTTTTTTTGTGATTTCGATATGTCACCTCATTGTAAATTAAGGTATTACAGTGTTATGGATTAGGATGGACTATAATGTTGTTACAATTATTTCAATTATTTCACAACATCTGCAGATTTGTTCATGATTCATGAGTTAGGGGTTGCTTTATATAACTTGTAACCAAAATCAATAAAACTTGGGTAACTTTATATCAATCCAATTGGCCCAATTGATTTTTTTTTTTTTTTTTTTTTTTTTTTTTTATTTTTTGAACATCTAAACTATTCTTTTTGTTTTGTTATTTCTTAAATGTGAATAAATTACTATAAGGAACTAAAATACGACTACATAGTATAACTCGTTTACGTGTTTAATATCAATCAATGATAAGATATTCAACTTTTAAGACATAATATCAATAAATATCCACTTATATTATAATAAATATTATATGACATACTCTGAAGCCACACTATAATTACTTCTCAAGATGACATATTATTATATAAAAATATATATGTATTTGTGCTTATTCTAAAAATAACTTTAAACAAATGTCTTATAACAAAATATGACTCATGGCATCATCCAACAAAATTTTCCCTTATGATCCTTCTCTGTTATTTGGTTCATATCTTCGTAATATAATTGGTTCATGTCCCGATCAATAATAAAAAATGTTAAATAAGAATATATAATAATATAATAATTAAATAATATATATGCACTTTATAATCAATATATAATATATAAATATGATATTTACATATAATATATACAATTTCAACTAAAATACTCGAATTTTTATATAAGTATGTAACATAACAAAATACTAAATGAGGTAATGAAGGGGAAGAAAGTGATTGAGTTACCATCTCATCATTTGCTTCTCATGTATGAAATTTTAGAATTCAAGCTAATTCTAAAATAATTTGAGAGAAATGTCTTAAAACCAAAATTATATATTATTTCTTGAATATGACTCATAGCATATTCAAAATATGCTTTTACAAACTTATTTCTATGCCTAAACAAATAATTTAATATATTGTCATCCTCATATTCATGTTCCCACAAAAATTTATCTTATGATCCTCCTCTGATTTTTGGTTCATATCCTTGTTATATAGGTTTCCCCTTTCCTATCCATACAAAAATTGTTTAATAAGAATATCCACTCATAAATATAGTATTTACATATAATATGTATAATTTCAACTAAAATACTAATTTTTATATATATGTATTTTAACATAATAAAATACTAAATGGCGTAAGAAAGTTACCAATCCCCTACTTCCCATGTAAATCCCCATTTTATAAGGACATAGATCAACATTACAAGGAATTGGTAAGTGTGGACCTTAAGGATATAAAATGGGGTCCTTATTCTAGCAAACACGATGGTTTGCAAGACTAAGGACTGGTATTACAATAGTTTAGATATGAGAGTACCATAACATTGTAAGAGAATCCTAAAACTTATAAGTTACAAGATTTGGGTAGCGATTTACAAGTTTTTGAACCAGGATTACAACATTAGAGTTCATCTAATCCATAATGTTGTAAATACTCATTTACAAGGATATGGATCCACATTACAAGGAATTGGTAACTCCGGACCATGAGGATGTAAATTGGATCCTTATTCTAGTAAAATGAGGGTTTACAAGACTAAGGGCCGATTTTACAATTTTGGGACACGAGGGTATCATAACCTTGTAAATATGATCCAAAAATATGTAAGTTACACGATTTGTGTAGTGATTTACAAGTTTTTCCACCACGATTACAACGTTAGGGTTTTCATAATTCTTAATGTTGTAAATCCTTATTTTACAAGGATATTGATCCACATTACAAGAAATTGATAAGTGCAGACCATGAGGATGTACATTGGGTCCTTATTCTAGTAAAATGATGGTGTACAAGATTAAGGGCCGATTTTACAATTTTGGGATACAAAGGTACCATAACGTTGTAAAGATGATCCATAAACATGTAGGTTACACAATATTTATAGGTTTTTGCACCATGATTACAACATTAGGGTTCTCATAATCCTTACCGTTGTAAATCCTTATTTTACAATGATATGGATCCAAATTATAAAGAATAGGTAAGTTCAGACCATGAGGATGTAAATTGGGTCCTTATTCTAATAAAATAAGAGTTTAAAAATTAAGGGCCGATCTTACAATTTTGGGATATGAGGGTACTAAAACGTTGTAAAATGGATCCATAAACATGTAAGTTATACGATTTAGGTAGTGATTTATACGTTTTTGTACCACGATTACAACGTTAGGGTTCTCATAATCCTTAACGTTGTAAATCCTTATTTTACAAGGATATAGATCCAAATTACAAAGAATAGGTAAGTCCGAACTATAAGGATGTAAATTGGGGTCCTTATTCTAGTAAAATGAGGGTTTACAAGATTAAGGATTTTGGGATACGAGGGTACCTTAACGTCGTAAAGAGAATCCCTAAACTCGTAACTTACAAGTTTTTTGTAACAATTTACAAGGTTTTGCTCTTGGATTACAATGTTAGGGTCCACCGAATCCATAATGTTGTAAATCAGCCTTTTACATGGATATGGATCCATATTACAAGGAATTGGTAATGGTGGACCTTAGGGATGTAAAATGGGTCCTTATTCTAGTAAAATACTTATTGGAGAATTTTCCTTACATTTTGTTTATCATTGTGAAGAAAAACAAAATTAAATAAAACAAGGGTTTTGTTGAGTAATTTTATATAATCTGTGTAAACCATCCCAAAATCAATAATAAACAATTAAATTGTGAAAATTAAAGGGAGTTTCATTATTATGCCCAAAATAGGGGCTGAAATTATAAAAACAAGACCCCACATGGAATGCATTTTAGAAATACACCTGAAACCAATTTACTACATAAAAAATGGGCAAGTTCCTATAAATTACATTATTGCCACTGATTAAAAAAAAACCAACACAAAAAACTCAATAAAAATCCCAAAAATTTTTAAAAAAAAAAAAAAAAAGTGAAAACCAAGCAAGGGGCTCTTCATAGAAGTACATTGTTAATACTATGTCATAGAACTATCTTGTTAATACTACTACGTCATAGAACTATCTTGTTAATATTAATATGTCATAGAAGTACATTGTTAATACTCTATCTATAACTATCTTGTTAATATTCTGTCATAAAAGTACATTGTTAAACAAAAATAAGATCCATAACTAAAATAGTAACAAAAGATAAATCGATCATCAAAGCTTAAAATACATTCACCAAATCAACTAAAATCCGAAGAAAAACACATAATTGAAGCAAAAGATAAAAAATTCCAAGTCCAAACCAAATGACAACGACAACGCAGCGAAATCCTCGTCTTCCTCCACAACTGAGTCGTTGTGCAGTACTCTGGAACAACCGAAGAGGTCCTCGGCTGTCGTTTTCGCGCTTCTATACTTGAGAGTTTTTTTTTAGACGAGTATAGTCGTGCGGCTTTTACTGGGGTCCTTTTTCTTAATTTTTTTTAAAATAAATAGAGTATAGCCGAGCGGCTATAGGGTATACCCGGGCGGCTAGACTATGGTTTTTTATTAGGAAAAAAAAAATAGTATAGTCTGGTGGCTATACTGTTTTTGAAACGTGGGTCCAAATCTCTAGCAGGTCTTCTTTCTTTTTTTTTTCTTTTTTTTTTATAAATAGTATAGCCACGCTCCAATACTTGAATTTTTTTTTAACGAGTATAGCCGCCCGGCTTTACTGCGGTCTTTTTTATATAAGTAGTATAGCCAAGTGGCTATAGTCTTTACACTACACATATGACTAATTTCATGTTGAATTAAATATGACCAAATAGACATAAACAAGTATTTTCATAAACAATAACAACATCTAAGTCATAACATATAATAATTTATCGTTTGATTTTCAATTTTGAGCCAATTTTTGTCTTTCAAATCGTTAGACAAACTTAATATTTTCAAGAATTTTATGAAATTTTCCAAAATATGTTAAAGAACACCAATCAGAGGGGCGAGACTGAGAGGGATGCTGTACATAGTAGGACTGGGATTGGCGGATGAGAAAGACATCACCTTCAGAGACTTAGAAATAGTGAAGCAATGTGACCAGGTTTTCATAGAGGCCTACACTTCTCTACTCTCTTTTGGTCTCTCTTCCGACGGCCTTTCCAAGTTGGTATGGGTTTTCTTCTGTCTCCCTCTCTTGCTCTATTTGTTTTCAAAACGTACGTGTTCAGTTTTTTAGAAGGAATTTCAATGCACAGGAAAACTTGTGTCACAGTTACAGATAGAAAAACGGTGGAGGAAAAAGCCGACCAAATTCTAACTGCAGCTGCTGCTTCTGACGTTGCTTTCCTTGTAGTTGGGAGATCCTTTTGGGTATGTATGCCTTTCTTTGGAATGTCAGTTTATTATGTTATATATTTGTTTCCAAAGAATCATTTTTGACGAGTAATTGAAATTGGGTTCCCAACAACTTTATATTTTAATTGAGTTATTTGATCAGTTGAAGTAGAGTATAGGAACACAGAGCTACAACTCACTCTGATCTTGTTGTTCGAGCCAATAAGTTGGGGATATATGTCAAAGTGGTGCATAATGCATCGGTGATGAATGCAGTTGGAATCTGTGGCTTACTACTCTACCACTATGGAGAGACAGTTGCAATTCCATTCTTCACTGAAAGTCTGTTCCTTTCATGTTTTGGCTGATAAGAAAGACCTTATTACTTCATGGAGTGCTTCATTCATGGCAGAGTTGTAAGACTAAGACCAGCCTCTATGGATAAAATGCAAACAAATAAATAAATTATCACCTCCAAATTAAGGGTTCTCAAGTATTCAGAGTACTTACCATAAGAACATTATCCGCATCAAACCAAAATCCAATTAAACAGAACAATAACATGAAAGAAAAGTAAAACAAATTTCAGGGACAACATGCATCTAGACTTCTGGTATCAAAAGAAGCGTAAACGAGCCATTGATCATTTGCTTTAAATCTTGGGAGAATATATTAGAAGAATTATGGGCTTGGGGCTTCGGCCATAAATTATAAATATTTTATGGTCAGGTTCATCAAAGGGCCCAAAAGCAGACAAGATACCATGAGGTTCAAACATCAAACCACTTGTCTGCAAGTTCACTGTTTTCATACAAGATAAATATTTTTTTTAAAATAAAAATCGGGGAATTGGAGAATCGGGGGCTGGTTTGGGAGACAAGCCCCAATAGGGATGGGGCTGGGGATGGGAGACACACCGATGGGCTTTGAAAAGAGAAAAGGTTCAAAACTTATGGGCTTCAAATTACGACGAATTTTCACACTGACACCTTCATTGTCACCTTTCGTTTTATTTTACAAGGAATTGAAATAGCGATTGTTGAACGATTTTAATAAAATTTCTAGCAGGAAATTAGAAGGTTCTGGTTTTAATAAAATTGATAAACTACATGTAAAAAGGGAAATGTGCTTAGTTTTATAAGGGTAGTGAGGCTGAGTGAAGTGGGTGAGTTATATATCTTTTGCTTTCTTTTTTGTACTCGTTTGTTTGACTGTATCCATCAACTAGTGGCATTTCTCTCCTCTTTTTCCCTCTCTATCTATCTATTTTTTCCTCAAATTTCAATCAGTAAAATTAATTCAAATATAAATTAATTAAGAACTTGTAACTCAAATAATTAAGAATTTGTACTTATGCATTCGAGGTCATAGTTCAATTCATCATCTTCTCTAATATCATTTATTTAAAAATAATAAACCTATATAATAGAGTAATTTTCACTTTAGAAACAATTTGTTCAAAACAAAAAAAAAAAAACAAAAAAAAAAAAAACTTAACAAACTATCTTAATTAGAGAATGACCTCAAACTAGATGTGGGCTCAGTCATCAGTGACAAAGACCTTTGTCCATGCCTCTGCCCTATAAACTTTCACTTTTTTCTGCGTTCACTTCTGCATCTAACCAAACCACACACGATGAAGCTTCAAGCTCTCACTCCTCCCACACCCATTTTCTTCTTCTTCTTCTTCACCACCCTCCTCTTTTACCCTACCCAGTCAACTCAGCCTCCATATGCCTGTGACTCGTCCCAGCCATCAACCAGCTCCTACCCTTTCTGCAAAACCGCCCTCCCCATCAACCAAAGAGTCCAGGACCTGGTCTCGCGCCTCACATTGGATGAGAAAATCTCCCAACTCGTTAACTCGGCCCCTCCGATTCCCCGACTCGGCATCCCGAGTTACGAGTGGTGGTCCGAGGCATTACACGGCGTCGCCGACGTCGGCAAAGGAATCAATCTTTACGGCACCATTTCTAACGCCACCAGCTTCCCTCAAGTCATCCTCACCGCCGCCTCCTTCAACGAACACCTCTGGTACCGCATTGGCCAGGTGAGTCAGCTCACCGAGTCACACAAAACCCAACTCGGCCTCTGTTACTTTTCTGGTCCAAAAAATTACAACCCATTACTTTCTCTTTGCTGCACATCAAAACCCATGTCCTTGTTTTCGTGTTTTCATTCGAAATAAATATAAAAAATGAAAACTTTTCTTTATTTACTTTGTTCATTAGGTGATTGGGACTGAAGCTAGGGCATTGTACAATGCTGGGCAAGCAACAGGGATGACATTTTGGGCACCAAACATTAACATTTTCAGGGACCCAAGGTGGGGGAGAGGGCAGGAGACACCTGGCGAAGACCCATTGGTGGTAGGCAAATACGCCGTGTCGTATGTGAGAGGCGTTCAAGGCGATTCTTTTGAAGGAGGGAAGCTCAAGGTCGGTGGTCGTCTTCAAGCTTCTGCTTGCTGCAAGCATTTCACAGCTTATGATTTGGACAACTGGAAAAGCGTCACGCGCTTTGGCTTCGATGCTCGTGTGAGTTTTCTTCTATTGGTCCATTCAAATTCTTGCTTGGAATTTTTTTTTCTTTTTAGTTTTTTTTTGTTTCAGTCACTTTGTGACTTTATTGGGCAAAATTCAAGATTCCTCCTTGATTTAAGTGCCATAAATTATATATTTAATTTGATAAATATTGAGTAAAACTTTATTGGCTTTTGAATTTGTCAGTTAATAATTCACTTCAATTAATTTTTCATTATTCAATTAATTTGTCAGTCCACCATACCTTGGTGTTCTCATATTTGTAGAGAAAAATAAAAACGAAATATAATTATCTCATATTTATAAACGTGTTATTGGGCATTGACTTTTTTTGTTGTTGTTGTTGTTGTTGGTGTTTTGCAGGTGAGTGAACAAGACCTAGCAGACACATACCAGCCTCCATTCAAGAGCTGCGTGCAGCAAGGCCAAGCCAGTGGCATAATGTGTGCTTATAATCGTGTCAATGGGGTTCCAAGCTGCGCAGATTACAATCTCCTAACCAAGGTTGCTAGAGGCCAATGGGATTTTCATGGGTACTTTACTTTAATTACAAAACGCTAATGCTTCTTTTCTCATCATGCTTTGTTTGGAGTTATCTACTTTTGCGATCACCGTTTTCCCTTTGATTGTGGACATTTTTACTGTCAATTTTCTTGATAAGATAAGATATTTATTCTGCATTGCTGTCGACATATAATTAACAGTTTATATTGGTTGGAACTTCATATTTTCAATGCTTGACCAGTTGGTTAAATAGCGCGCTCGTCTTCTTGTACCTAAGTTTAGGGTAATTTAGAATATTCTCTGCAAGAAAAAGACAAAAAATGATTAATAAAATAAAATTTCTGTTTTTAACTATCGATGTCAATAAAATCCAGCTACCGATGAGCTTGAATTCGAAAATGATCAGGTACATCACGTCGGACTGCGATGCGGTGTCCATCATTCGCGATGTGCAAGGGTACGCTAAAACGCCTGAAGATGCAGTCGGTGATGTGCTCAAAGCAGGTAATCTGGGGCCCGCCCTTGTCTTTTTCCACTTTGTTTATTTTCCCATGACATGTCACATGTGTCTGTTTCTCAGTTTCTGAGTACTTTTTTGTTGTGTAATGTCAAACCTACCCCTGTTGGGCTGTACATTCTGTGCGCATTATCTTTTGATTTGAGGTCAGGGCCCATTTGTGGATATGTGGGCCCACCCACTTGATCGAACTTTATGGGCTTTTGCTTGAAAGTCAAAATAACAATTAAAAAAGCAGCTGGTCCTTCTTCTTCTCTTAAAATGGACTTCTAGTTATCTTTTCGGATGCACCGCTTCTAAGGGCCAGTTTGGCATTGCTGTGCTGTGAAAATAATCGCTGTCAGATTTGCTGTGAGAGAAATCAGCTGTGAGAGAAAGCAGTTTGGCGTTTGGTAAAATTTTTGTTACAAGTGTTGTTGGTATTGATTTTACGCAAAATCAGAAAATGATAGTTGCATAATCATTAAACCCAACACCTCTTCGAAACTGATTCCTGCATAATCAGAAAATGAAAGCACCACATTAGCTGCTTTCCCTTATAGCTTTCTCTCACAGCAATTTTTAACAATAAGTGATTTTTTCGCAGTTTACCAAACGGGTTGGGCTTCTCAAAATTTTTTAAAAATCACTTATCACCCCAAATAAGCAATGCCAAACTGACACTAAGCCTATTATCAATTCCGTTTTTCTGCTAACAAGTGAAAAGAAAGTTGGATTGTTTTAGATCCTATCAAAGATAAGATACATGAATTCTAAAATGAAACTGATTTGAGTCAATATCTGAAAAGGAAAGAAGGAACCTTTAGATTATGGTGTCTGATTGGTACAAAATTTGATTTAAGAAATTTCAAAATTGGACTTATTATAATGTGGTATTGGAATATGGTCATGTGACATAATTTGTTCACGTGTTGTAATATAACCGTATTGTTTACACATATTATAAAACGTAAACGGGGTTATAACACTTAATCGTATTCCAATACCACGCAGTAGGGTAGTGGACTATCTCTAACATGCTTCTACATTTGACTAAATGTTGCAGGCATGGACGTGAACTGTGGATCCTACTTGAAGGATCACACTAAATCTGCAGTTCAGCAGAAAAAGCTGGATGTGTCAGAAATAGACAGAGCCCTCCACAGCCTCTTCTCTATAAGGATGAGGTTAGGCCTGTTTGATGGCAGTCCACTCGAGCAACCTTATGGCAACATTGGTCCAGACCAAGCGTGCTCCAAGGAGCACCAGGCTTTAGCCCTTGAAGCTGCTCAAGATGGCATAGTGCTTTTGAAAAACTCTGGCAGACTTCTCCCATTGCCTAAATCAAAAGCCATTTCTCTTGCTGTTATTGGTCCCAATGCCAATGCTTCAGAAACACTTCTTGGAAATTATCATGGCCGTCCATGTAAATCCATAACCCCATTAAAAGCATTGCAGGGTTATGCTAAGTACACAAATTATGAAGCAGGCTGTGACACAGTTAAGTGTCCCCAAGCTACAATTAATAAAGCAGTTGAAGCAGCAAAAGCAGCGGATTATGTGGTTTTGATTATGGGGCTGGACCAAAGTCAAGAGAGAGAGGCGCATGACAGAAGGCACTTGGGCCTGCCTGGAAAGCAACAGGAACTCATTTCCAGTGTGGCAAAAGCTGCTAAAAAACCTGTTATTCTTGTGATTCTTAGTGGGGGTCCAGTTGACATAACTCCAGCCAAATATGACAAAAAAATTGGAGGCATCTTTTGGGCTGGATATCCTGGTGAAGCCGGAGGAATTGCCCTTGCTGAAATCATCTTTGGTGATCACAATCCAGGTAAATTAATTGACAATGCTTAGAAGAACCAATTGACAAAGCTAGATAACCATTCTCTTGCCGTATATCTGACATCATATGGCAAGAGAACATTTGACATTATATGTTGTCAAACTGTGAATATGGAACACGTAATTTTACGAAAGTCAACCTAATGAATTTGTTCAAATTCTAGATTGACAGATGATAACATTTTCTTGACAAAATGCTTGAATTATTTAATGTTTGCTATGCAGGTGGAAGATTGCCAGTGACTTGGTACACACAAGATTATGTCAAGATACCAATGACAGACATGAGGATGAGGCCTGACACAAAAACAGGTTATCCTGGGCGCACATACAGATTCTACAAAGGCGGAAATGTTTATGACTTTGGTTTTGGCCTCAGCTACTCCAACTACATTTATGAGTTTGCCTCTGCAATAGCTCAAAACAAGCTTTACTTAAATGAATCATCCATTAGTTCCAAAGTTAAGTCCTCAGACTCCGGCCGTTTCCGTTTAGTCCCAGATTTAAGTGAAGAATTCTGTGAGAAAAAGAAGTTCCCAGTCAGAGTTGCGGTCAAAAATCATGGGGAGATGGTTGGTAAGCACCCTGTGTTGCTTTTTGTGGGTCAGAAGAATCCCAACAATGGAAGCCCAATGAAACAGTTGGTTGGATTTAAGAGTGTGATATTGAGTGCTGGGGAAAGAGCTGAACTTGAATTCATTTTGAACCCTTGTGAGCACCTCAGCCATGCAAATGAGGGTGGTTTGATGGTAGTGGAAGAAGGTTCTTATTTCTTGCAAGTAGGAGATGTAGAGTACCCTCTTGATATCGTAGTTTGATTTATGAAGGGTTGCTTCTTGCAACTGCCAATTTAGAATGGAAGTATGATTCCATTTTGAGAATGAAAATCTTTAATTATGGAAGCATAAATGGGAAACCAACCTTGAGCTGTTTATAGCTCTTCTTTGTCCTCCATTGTGTTGATTGAATTACTGCTTATCTCCCGTGCACAATAGAGACAAGACCAAATAATAATAAAAATATGTGCAATCGAAAGTAAATTGGAATTGAACTACTTGTATAGTACACTATAATACGATACGGTACATATACGATGGAACATACAAGATAATTACGTTAAAAAGTATGAGACATGTGACTTGCAAGTGAAGATTGAACGTGAACAAAGTTTTGTTGGGACCCTTATATTGTCTGATGAGGTAAGACCAACCACTTAAAGAAAAATTAATTGCTTTGAATATCAGGAATATTAGTGCAACAATAGGTGAAAGAGTTTTATGGCATGTTTATTAATCCGTAATTGGATTATGGGGAATTGAATTGAGAAGAATTAGATTCCAAATTCCTATTGAAGTTGTTTACTAAACCATATGGAATTGGGGTATGAGTTATACTAATTATTAAAATATCCTCATTGTTTGGTTAAAGTAGATGACAAATTTGGAATTTTGAAAATTTTGTGAGGATATAATGAGTAAAAAAAAAAAGAATTCTTAATGGGTTAGTTCTCCATGAATTATAATACCACCTCCCATCCAAGAATTGAATTCCTCCAAATTAGGAATTCAATTCCTAATTTTGTGTGAGCCCCACTTACTTTTCAATTCCTAATGAGAATTCCAATTCCTGATTAGTAAACACACCATTAAAGAGAAATTAGAACAAGGTTGTCCAGAGTTAATAAACCAAGAAGATGAGGTATCTGTTGTGACAGAAATAGCATAAGAGGACTAAAAGAAAGCCAACAAAGTACTGAGAATATCAGCCAAATTTAATGAAATGATGATGTCTAGATAATCATTTTGCATAAAGATGATTGTGCATCGCTGATACATATAATTGCGAATCATTGATGTATGTGAGTTCCACAATGAATTATGTATATCAACGTTGCTTTTTGCAACGTGTGCGTCAAAAGCGAAGCTCTAGTTGGTAAATGATACCAGTATAGTCTAAATAGCAAAAACCAAGTGGAGCTGGTTGATCGGTGCCGGGAGTAGCAAGAACAACCTCGTGACTTTGCGGAACAGCACTCATATATTTCTTCAAAAACCAAATCAATTAGCAGCATTGTCCAAAAGGCTAAAGGACTCGATGATCTATAAATATGCTCAAACATTGATTTATACAAGGCATCTCACCAGGTGACAAATGTCTCAGGATCACAAAAGTTTTTCAAGTAGGTTTCCCTCTGTTTTCTCCAAAAACAATGCAGCTGGGGATTCATTGCTAAAATAAGTAGGATACCGTCCAAAAGACTTTGGCAAACAGAGCTTTATCCTTGGTAGGATTCTGGCTTTGCCCAAATACAACACAGTATTGTACATACAAAATTGTAGGGAAAATAATGCACAACACAAATTTTAGTATACATATAGCGTCAACTTTATGTTAAACATCTCAAATTGGGCGTGCTTGGGAAAACCATCATTGGTACTAAAAGAATCAGAAGAGTTACATAGGCAACTAGAACGTGAGATTCCCTAGCTAGAGAGCAATAGCTGACGCTTACTTCTCCTTTGTTCCTTCGGAAAATGGCAACAACAAATCCAGGATCATCCCTTGCATTCCATGTCATGGCTGGAACAGTCACCTCGCGCGTCCCATCTGGGTGGAAGTAATCATGGAATTCCTGAGTGTGGGCACTGAAAACAATCCTGCAAACAAGGAATTAACAAAACTGATTAGCTTACAGGTGAAGATGTGAACTCGGCATTTGAGGTACATTGTGAGTTGTAAATTGGAGAACACATTCATGGATTAATATAAGACGTGAAGCCCTGGAAAATTAAACATTGGAAACCCTAATTTAAATTTTCATTATGAGATTTGCCCATTTCAATTTTACACTTAAGGAGGATCAATCAATTCCATAACATCAAACTGGCGTTACCCACCAGTCTGACATATGTGGACACTAGCAAGGGATAAGTGTTAAACTGAGGAATATTAGGTGATGATTAAATAAGTAATTTCAAATGCAAGTGGACCATGAGCAACATCTGATTGGCACATCAACAAGAATATTTTGGGAGGAATTCAGGAAAAGGTCACAATAAAAATGTCAAAAAGAAATCTGTACGAGCATAAAGTAAACTGAGGAACATTTCAGTATTAGAAACTTTAGTAACAGAAAATTAGTGGAAATCTGGATAATGGAACAAGTCATGGATATACCAAGCCTGGTTAAACAAAGAGAAAGCCAAAGCGTCATTAAACCCCACCCCTCACAGAAAACATAAAAAATGAAAGTTTACTCCTGAGATTTGTGGAATTTATCCCCTCAACTTCAGAGCATGATATTGTACCATACCCCACCATCACAGCAATGGAAAGTCTGAGAAGGTTCCAATAAGGAACTTGCATAGAAATTTCTCTTTTAAACCCTATATGTTTTGCAAAACAGATCATGACTTCTTTCCTTTGTTTTCCAGTGTTTGGCATGTGAATGGACAGTTCTGTACAAGCAGACACTGTTTTTACAAGGACAGTTCTGTACAAGTTTCATTTTTTGTTTCTCATACATGCAATTATTTTGTACTCTCTAAATCAAGTTAATTATATTCTCCTTCTCTTATATCAACCAGAGAAAACAGTTAATCAGAAATAATACCAGACCTAGAAATATGAGATATCAGAATACTCTGAAATGGTGACAAGTTAAGACCATTGCATATGTACACAATACACACAGAAGTTATGACAATCAGAGGAGTCATCTCCTTGAAGACTAAATCGGGTCTCGCTAACATGCTTTATTTAAGAACACACATGCGGCATTTCACTAGACGATTGTAGAAAATGGAAAAACATGGTCCTAATAAGCAAGAATGACAGTATCATAAGAACTCTTCCTCTGAACATGAACTCACCTTGGTTTGAGAGCTTGAAAGATATATTCAGTAGCATTCGGAGGTAGCTTGTGTAACAAATTGTATGGCCCTGTACCAACACGTCCCCTAGAATCAAAGGGTAAACAATTTACAATTAGCATGAAGTAAAACTTCCAGCCATTGTACAAACTGAGAGATAACAAAACAAAATAAACAGCACAAACTGATAGCCAGTCTTTTACTACAGCTTCTATGAGGTCAAATGTAAAAAACCCATTTGAACTAATTCCTATCAGACATAAAAAAAATGGAAGTAAAAAACAATTGCTTGCACCTACCTGCCGTCCAATATGCTTGAACTCCTACTCCTATCATAGTTAGCAGCAGCTACAGTTTGGTTTAATGGGAAATGAAGCAAGAGCACAGGACCAGACCCAGATGACATAGCATTCTCTCTCCACCCAAACTCATAAACCTTCTTCCTCACTCGACCATTCTCATCCATTCCCTCAAGCTCGGTTCCCATCTGAAAATCCATGCTTTCACTCTCCACCACCTTCTCCACACTGAACCTCAGCTCATTGTTCCCGCAAAGCAAAGCCACGGCATTGAGCGACACGAAACTCACATTACCGATTTCGAAGGCTCCGCAACCGGCAGAGTCAAGACCCGGAAATCTACCCGAAACCCAACTCACCAAATCCGCACTTAGCTTATCGCACTCTCCGACATCTCGGTCGCCAAGAACAACGTGAAGTGGCAGCCCGAGAAATGGACCCAATACACGCTGAAATTGGTGAATCACCGAAATGTACTTGGAATTCGGCAATTTGTAACCTCGGGCCGAGATATCGCCCAACACTAACAGCATATCGGGCTTCAAAGTTCGGAAAGAATTCTGCTTGATAAAAATTCAGGCAACTCAGTAGTAAATAAATGGGGAAGGTGAGGGCAAAATGGGGAATTGTGTTTGCTGGTATTACCGTGAAGAACCTGGACAAGTAGTAGTCTCTGAAGAGGAGGTTGAAGTAGCCGGCCTCGGAGCCCAGGAGGAGGAGATTGGCGACCATCATGACCTTGAGGTCGTCTGGGTGGTCCTGGTTGGGTTCATGGCCATGGAGGTTAGGGCTAGGTACCCTTTTGCAGGAAGGAGATGAGACCCACTCTTCATAGATGAACAGAGCTGAGACTGCGATTAGGGGCAACAATGGCTTCCACCCAACCGCCATTGTTGCAGAAAATTGAGGGCTTTGGGAGTTTGGACGAAATTGAGGGCTTTGGGCCTTTGAAAGCAAGCCATGGATCGGTCCATAAATTTTTAATTCGTAAATACTTTAAAAATTAAAAAATAATACTATTTTTACTCGAATACAATATTGGACTTTTTTATAAATAAAAAAAATCAAAACGTTGAAACGTTACAGAACAACTAAGACTTTACATTTCATTAAGAAATTAAGATGACATTAACTTTTTAGGTCACAAGATAATATTAATTTCAACTAAAAGGATGACACATGCTATGCATTGTGAATGAGTGATTGGTTGAAATAAATAATGAGACTTAATGACATATTTACTTATTAGTATCGGAATGATTTAAATTCATGTTTTTTATGTGTTTTCTATTATATGGGTATTGGAATGATTATAATTCATCTATTTTCCTACGTTTATTAATATATAAGGAATCAAAAATTATGTAAGTTCCATATGAAAATCCGTAATCAAGTACTCTTAAAATCATTAATGAGATCAACTAGGGGAGTAGTTGATTGAGTTCCAATTCCTTGATTACATGTCCGAGTTCCCCAATTCATGACATCCCCGTTCCTGATAAGTAAACATGCTAATTTAAAATTGTTAAAAGGAATGAAGGGACTATTTTACATTTTCTCATTGAGGTTGACAATAAGAGTTCTCCGAAATTAAACATTCTCATAACATCCATTAGATGTAAAGGAGTCATTCTTATTTTAAGTTATCTCAGTATTTACTAATAGTTTAGAAGAAAGATAAAAGCAAGACCCACACATATTAACAATCGCCTTCCCAATTTTCATAAATCAAATTAGCTTTGATTCCGATTCCAACCAAACAATTAGTAAACATACTAATATAATTAGCCTTATTACCATTACACTTCCAAACACTTAAATAAACACTCTAATTTGGGTATGCATGTTTCAGTTTGCTTCGTCGTACTCCAACTCTTTTTCACTTCGTCTCCCTGTTTCAATCCTAGATAAAGTAAACATGCCAATAGCCATGATATAAAGTTTCAAATTTTAAATAAATATTTCTTAAAGCCTAAAATCTAAACTAAAAGATTTGTCATGTTATACAAGCATGGCATATAATCCAAAACATTAGAGGGGCCAAAATGCAATTTCCACATTTTTTGATTTTGACTAATTTAATATATTTTCCTCGTGTGGGCATCCGACAACCACAATGTGTCACCACCAAACTACATGGTAGTTTTGTCACGCTCCAATATCATATTATTCTTAAATTGGCAATTACTAGTTACCACCACCGACCACCCTTACCATATATAAGATAACCCTGCTGAGAATTTAACCTTCCTTTATAATCACAATTTCTCTTTCTGTTCGTAGCCACGTGCTTTCTGAGCTAAACAAACAGTAAAAGGAATAGAAAAAGGTAGGAAATTTAGTACAGCTAAATTCTTTTTCTTCCGTAATTTTTTGTATATGTTAGAGTCGGTCTATTTGTGGAAAGCGCTTTTGTTTTTGTAGAAAATATTTTATTATATTTGAGATTAATATCTTTCACTTGAATAATTCGCAGGCGCCATGCATGTAGACAATGTGATGAGAATTAGAAGTGAGAAAAGAAAGTTGAATTTCAATGTGATGATGACAATTTTAAGTGGGGGGAAAAAAGTTGGATTCGGGGGAGGAGGGCGGGTTGGTTAAGAGTGTGAAAATAAAAGTAAAGGTAGGAAATTGATGGGAAGTTTTGCATACATAGAATTATTATACTGTTATAAATTTATTCTCTCTTTTTGTTTCAGTCAATTCTTAAATTTAATATGGAAGCTACTCTTCTCTAAAGAAATGCCAAAGTTGCTTAAAAATGGCCAGTAAGAAAATGTTACTCATGGTACAAATCTACAGAAATCCCAAGTACAAATCTAAATGACAAAAAAGAGATTTGCAAAGTGCTGATGGTAATTTTTTCACACAACAAAATAATACAATTAAAAAACGACTTGAAGTTAGTAGATTTCGGTTGACTATTGCTTGACATGAATACGAATATGACACGACTCGCTAAATACAAATGATAAATAGGTGGTGTTAGTGTTAAGCTTGGTAACTCAATTTTGACATGATAAACATATTTAACTAGTATATTCATTTTTTCATTTATTAGTACCATATACTGTATGACAAAAAGTATAATGAAAATACTAGTTTTTGTGGTTTTGTATGTATTCATAATTAAGTGAATTCTAATTTGATAACTAAGGTATAAGTGATAGGTTTGGGTCATAATAATGGAAACTTACTTTAAAGTTTTTAGCTCAAAATGGAAGTAGTTAAACCCAAATACAACAAGATTATAAATAGATTAAGTTAGGGCTTGAGGCATTTGATACGATTAATTAAACAGATCGGATTAGAGTTAACTATTTTTTAATACAAACATGAAATTATATGACCGCTAAACCCTAAGAAAGAGAAACACTATAGCGATTATGCAAGGCTATATATCTATTTATGAAATACCATAGGCATCAAGGATTGGCATTTGAAAATATTCTCTTTCCTATACAAAATTTGAGAAAGAAAGAAGAAAGACATCTTCAGTCATGGAATAAAAAAAAGTGATCACATTACCCAAAGTGTTTATTCGACATGCATTGTGGTGTTCTGTTTCTAAAATTTTAACAGGTTGTACAAACTTATGGAATCAGGTTGCGTCTTTGAATAACGTTTAGAGTTACAAAAAGTTTTGCTGATCATCTTGCTGCTATGGGGGCACAACCCGTCTTTGGGTTTGCATAGTTTTGATGTCTTCCCTACTTCTTTGGCTCTTATCTTGGATGATGATGCATTAAGTTGAGTGTCGCCCCCGTTAGTTTTTATTTTTTATTTTTAATTTTCGGATTCGTCCCACCTTATTTTAAAAAATAAATTAAAAGAGTTACAAGAAGTTTCATTGCAGAAATATGAGAAAAACGAGTGTCTCACATATAGCCCATGCGTGTCTATAGCAAATGTGAAGCATACGTTTTATGAGTACATAGGACATGGTAGGGTGGGAAAAATAATATAGAGCATGGTCCAAGGGGTGGCTGAGGCCTGCTCTGACCCACCCTAAATCAGAAAAAATTCCCAAAAAAATAGCCTAGTTGCTAGTTCCAAACCTCCTTACCCAAATGGCTCAGCCCCCAAAATACGAATTGCCTCAATTTTGGTCCATATGGTTTGTTTAAAAAAAAATCAGAGTTGTAATTTCCTCAAAGACTTTTTATAATGTTTGAATTTATTATGTCAAAAAATATATATATTTCCAATTGCATCTACAAAGATTCCTAGATTTCATTTGGCGCAAAGGAAAGAGTAATACTACTTTTAATAAATTTGTATATCACATTCCTATACCATATTATGTGGCAGATGAGGTGGATATTCATATCAATTTAAATTAATTTAACATTTTTTTAATAATGATTTATTGACACTTTTTAATTGATGTAGTTGTCCACTTCATCTGCCACATAAGATGATATGAGACTGTGGGATACGAATGTGATAAGAGTAACATACTCCAAATGAGCAACCAACCTAATTGAATGCACAATCAATAAAATCTAAACCAAATTTTGTTAATTATTTTTTTTGGGGGTATTTAAAGTCAACCTTTATTTATTTTTAATTTCGCTTTAGCAGCATGAAATAGTACTTGTTCCATTCTAGAACACATTGAGATTCTTTAGTTTCGGTCACTGCTACCAATATGAGTTATGTGGGTGTCTAAATTAATTGAATATCTAACCACCCTCAACAGTGCCATCAAGAAAGTACAAGGGCATAATAGTCATTTACCAATATTTTCCTCCTATTTATTATGGTCCAAATTTAGCTTCTTACCCATAAAATCCCATTTTCTATAATAATTTTTTTTAATGGATTCATGACATTTATACACGTTTTCAAGTGAACTTTAGCAATTTAGGTGTTTTTTTTTCCTAAATTTATCAACCAAGAAAAAAAGGACACATCCACTGCCTTCCCACGCGCCTCGGTTTGGCGTGTCGTACACACAATGCTACACTGTTGCCGTACCATAGGTCAGTGTTTTCCCTCCGCTTTAAAAGCACGTGGGATCGTCCTCCCTCCTTTGTCACAATGACCTTTATACCCTGGTGATTTCACAAATATTACACCGTTCCCTCCGCGGCCATTAAAAATAAAAATGAAATACCGCATAAACATCCAATCAAGGAATCATGCGTCGATCACAAAATCTCTACCGTACACGTGGCTATTTATTGGGGCCCACGGCCGAAACTGACCGAACTGTCGCTACTACTGCCTTGGAGCGTAAGATTCTTACGTGCGAGCGTTTTGCACGTAAGCTAAACCCTCGGATTACCCTAATCCACCGCTGTTGAAGTCCCGAAATTACCCTCCACCTTATCCCTGAAGCTATCCTAGTCAAATTCAAACCCGCAAAACAGAGTCGGTTATAAGCAGGAGAAGGGAGGGTGTTTTTGGAATTTCGGATTCTCGAAGCGATAAATAAAATAAAATAAAGGGTAGAATTAAAAATTGCCGGGAACAAAATAACGGTGGCCGGAGAAAAAACCGGCCGACGAAGGCTTTGATATTTCCTATATAAACCTGTCACCAGGCCCTTGTTTTCTCTCATATTTGCTATCCGTCTCTCCTTCTCTCTCTCTTGCTCGCTTGTTGCTCTCTCTCAAACCCTTACCCTATAGAGGCTTCCTCTGTTATTTATTTTATTTTTGGTTAAATTATCTTCCTCTCTTAAAAATACACACGAAGCTCTAAAAGAGGTAAAAATTCTATCTGCTATATTTTAAAATTTAATTTTAATTTGTAAATATTGTTTGTTGCGATGCGGAAGATCAGTAGCATGAATAATGGGATTGGAGAAAGACTGAATCTTTTGGCTTGACTGATTAGATGAATGCATGAACATTTGCTGAACGAATTGTGGGTTCGATCTGTTTGGGTGCGAGTTGGATTTGAGGGTTGGTGTTGGGATTTGGAGTGTTTGGTTGTTGATGAAACCCTAGAACAAAATGCTAGGTCAGTTGGTGAGGATTGGGATTGCAATTGAGATTTCAATCTGAAGTAGGTAATTTGAATTTAATTGGATCAAGCACTGTGTTTGTAGATTTGCGTTTTTCATTTTATCAGTTTTGCGAGCTCTGCTCTAGTTTATGTTAGGGTTTCCTGTATGTATTGTCTCAAGTGATCGGTGCTTAAGTTTTCTGGTTCCATTTGTTGCCTATGCTGCTAGACATAATCTCTTTATATATGCGTATTTGACTATAAGTTCTATTGGGGACTTAATATAATCAAAAACCATTTTCTTGTTCTTGAAAAACCAGTTTACACATCTCGAATCCATTTTAAGTTTTTGAAATTAATGCGTTGTATGATTCTTTTTTATTCCTTTAGGCTTGATAACTGTTTATTTTAACATGCAATGTGTGTGTCTTGTGGCTTGGTTATAATTAATTGTTTGATGCTGGATTACCGTTGTTGATGGATTCTTATGCTTGTAGAAGTCACTAGACTTCTTGAACGCTTTTATTGTAGAAGTCACTGATTGCATTTAATGTGCATGCTTTGTCTGTGATGATTTGCTATCACCTAATTGGTTGCATTTCGTTTGAATGTTTTCTTAGAAGGAAATCACGAAAAGCTCCGTTCAACTTTCTTGGAAATATAGTTTAGTTTGTATGTATTTGCATATGAGATGGGTTCTCGAGGAAGGCCATTATTTGATCTCAATGAACCCCCTGCTGAGGATAATGAAGAGAATGATGGTGTCCGTTTCCAGCCACAAAAGGCACTTCCTTCTACAAACCCCCATAGTTCTGAAGTGCTTGCAGTAGCAGCTGTTGCACCAAGAATTGTTAATAATCATGCTTTTTCACACGCATCATCTGTGTCAGGTTTTCAACCTTTTGTCCGGCCTAAATATGCTCATGGCTCTGAAGGTGGTGCTGAGCAGAAGGCAAGAGATGATAATCCCAACAGTGCATCAATATCTAAGTCAAGTAAGGATGAGGATGTAAAACCAGTACCATCTTTAGCTTCTGCTTCTGCAAATGCTCCATCTGCTGAAAGAGAAGAAGGAGAGTGGTCTGATGATGCCGAGGGATCTGCTGAAGCATATGGAAGTGGCAGTTTGCATGAAGGTAAAACTTCACAAGTGCAAGGAAAATCTGGAGTGATTGTTGGATGTGCTTCGGCTGTTTCTCCAGATGGTAGTTCTTGCAATATGAAGATTTCAGAAAGTCTCAAGGATGAAAATAGCAGTCATACGTCTCCAGGATTTGATCATGATCAGAATAGCAACAGTAGCCGCAACTTAGACAGTAATGCTAAAGGTCAGGCATCCATGGAATGTCAGGAGGAACCTGGCTTGGTTCCAAAACAAGAGAAAGTTAAAGGCATTGAAGCAAGCCATGCAGTCAAGTGTGCAACTAATCCAATGAAGAGGAAGATAAACCAACTAAATGAAGCAAAGCTGGGAAAGAAACGTAATAGACAGACAATGTTCCTTAATTTGGAAGATGTTAAGCAAGCTGGCCCTATCAAAAGTTCAACACCAAGAAGACAACCCTTTCCCACACCTGTAACAACTCGCACTTTGAAGGAGGTTCGTACCATTCCTCCACCTACAGAACGCGTTGGGGAAAAGCAGTCACAGTCGACAATAAAGGACCAGAAACAAGTTGATGTTGTGTATAGTGAAGGAGGGACTGTGGTAGAGTCCAGTGAATGTAAGTCTGAATCTAATGGGGATGCTAATTATGGATTACTTCCCAGGACTAGAAAGCAAAATGGCGACACTGATCCTTCTGCAGAGGTCTTACCACCAATTCCAAGACAGAGTTCATGGAAACAGCCCACAGATATGAGGCAGCTGAAGAATTCACAGGTTGCTAATAGGAAGCCAGCTCTGGTCACTCAAAGTTCCATCGATTCCAAATCGGGAAACAAGAAGCCTCTTCCTGCAAAGAAGCAAATGGCAATCAGTAACACGTACCAAGACACATCGGTTGAGCGTCTTATACGAGAGGTTACCAGCGAAAAGTTTTGGCATCACCCAGGTATAAAGTAATGTTGTTTTTCTGTTTATGTTCATTAATGTTGACTAGTTCTTAGTGACATGGTTCCCAATTTTGTTACTCTTGGGAACTTTGGGCAATCTGTGTTGACAGCTTTCCTGATTTTCTTATGCCAGTGCTCCATGGCCCTCCAATTGTTACATTATGAGACTCATAGCACACAAAGGACTTGGAAGGTGATGACAATTATAGTGTGAAATCGAGATTCCAAATTGACATATTTCATTGATTTTCTCAATTTCACTTTGTAATTCTTATCACCATCACATGCCCTCTTGTGTGCAAAGTTCTCATAGTGTACTTTGTTGTTTGTTTTGGTGGACAGGGAGGGGTTGGGGGGGATGTTTTGATTGAAGTGTTAATGTTTTGATGTATATATCTGCCCGCCTTTGTATGATTTGTATTTTCTAATAAACGTGAATTTGGTCAACTGTGATTCCTTATATTAGTTTTTAAGAAGTGAAAGTTGATATTGTATTGCCCAGGCCCACATATAGTGGATGGATCTATACAGTTTCATGTGGTGGGTATTCAATAATCAGGATGTCCTCTTGGGAGAGTATTCCTTCGTACTGAACCTATTGTTATTGGGACAACATACAATCTTTTCTGTAGAAATCTCCATCTCATGAGGAGAGCAAACAACACATTTACTATTTCTGGAAGGATATTTACCTCTGATTGTCGGTTTCTTGTTTGTAAGTACATGAAGTATAAATTGAAATCCATAATTTTGGCTTAGTAATTTGTGCATTTATATGTTTATTTATTTTCTAAACCTTGTCTTTGTGGAAAGGCTTGAAAAGCTTCCATTCATATGGAATATTTCATTCCTTGGTAGGCAGCAATGGTACTTAAGTTGTTGATTTCTTTTATGTTATGTGTTCTCATAGCCTGGTACATACAATATTTGTCTTCTATTCCTTTGGGTTTTAACCTTTTTGTGTGTGTGTGGTTTCTCAAACTTATTTTTCTTTCCACTGAATTTACATTTTCTTGTGCACCAGGGGAGACTGACCTCCAATGTGTTCCTGAAAAGTTTGAATCTGTTGAGGAGTATGTCAGAGTATTTGAACCCTTGCTGTTTGAGGAATGCCGGGCACAGCTTTACAGCACATGGGAGGAATTAACGGAAGGTATTTCTAGAGATGCTCATATGATGGTCCGTGTAAGAAGCATTGAAAGGAGAGAAAGAGGTACTGAGCCCAACTCCCAGTTTACGGATACACCTCAATACAAATTTTAGAAAAAGTAAAACAGGCTAACCATAGTTAGGTTGGCCTGTATAGCTGATAATACCTATGCTCTCTCTTCCTGGTTCTGTTGGCTGATTAAGGTGTAACTTTTGGTGGCTTAGGGTGGTATGATGTAATAGTCCTTCCAGAAAATGGATGCAAGTGGACATTTAAGGAGGGCGATGTTGCAATTCTTTCAACCCCCAGGCCTGGATCAGGTCTGACGTGTGATTATGTTTCTTGTCAAATTATTTCTATTGGATATTAATGCTCTGACGGCATTACTAACACTGACTCTTATTATGTCATGCAGTCAGATCCATAAGGAACAACTCGTCAGCTGAGGACAATGAGGAGCCTGAAATCAGTGGGCGTGTTGCTGGTACTGTGAGGCGACATATTCCTATCGATACTCGTGATCCCCCAGGAGCAATCCTTCATTTTTATGTTGGGGACTCCTATGATTCTAACAGGTTGCTGCATAATTCTATTTGTTTTTCTATGATTTTCCTCTAGTATTATTTTAGTAAATATGCTGAAATTATTCCTCTCTTTCTATTGCTTCATCTTTAATATTATTTTTCCAGCTTCGTTGATGATGATCATATTCTAAGAAAACTACAGCCCAAAGGAATTTGGTATTTAACTGTGCTCGGTTCTCTTGCAACCACCCAGCGGGAGTATGTTGCACTGCATGCGTTTCGCCGTCTGAATTTGCAGGTGACAAATTTTTGGATCCGTAATGGCTTTGAATATTCTGTTTTATTTGCATGAATACTAATTTGACAGATCACATTCACAGATGCAAACTGCAATACTTCAGCCCAGCCCAGAACACTTCCCAAAATATGAGCAGCAGTCCCCTGCTATGCCTGAATGCTTCACACAGAATTTTGTTGATCATTTGCATAGGACTTTCAATGGACCCCAGCTAGCAGCAATCCAATGGGCCGCAATGCATACAGCAGCTGGTACAAGTGGTGGAAAGAGGCAAGATCCATGGCCTTTCACTCTTGTTCAAGGACCTCCTGGAACAGGTAAGACACACACAGTGTGGGGAATGCTAAACGTTATCCATCTGGTGCAGTACCAGCAGTACTACACTTCTTTGCTTAAGAAATTGGCACCCGAAAGCTATAAGCAAAATAGTGAGAGCAACTTTGATAATGTTTCTACGGGATCAATTGATGAGGTTCTTCAGAACATGGACCAGAATCTCCTTCGTACACTACCAAAGCTCTGCCCAAAACCTAGAATGTTAGTTTGCGCTCCTTCTAATGCTGCAACAGATGAGCTTCTTTCCCGTGTTCTTGACCGTGGATTCATTGATGGTGAGATGAAAGTTTATCGGCCTGATGTTGCTCGAGTAGGTGTTGATTCACAGACCCGCGCTGCCCAGGCTGTGTCGGTTGAGCGGAGAACTGAACAGCTTTTGGTCAAGAATCGTGAGGAAGTCTTAGGGTGGATGCATCAGTTAAGAAATCGTGAAGCTCAGTTGTCAGTGCAGATAAGTAATCTTCAAAGAGAACTTACTGTTGCAGCTGCTGCTGTTCGCTCCCAAGGATCAGTTGGTGTTGATCCTGATGTTCTGGTTGCTCGGGACCAGAATCGAGATGCATTGCTGCAGAACCTTGCAGCTGTAGTTGAAAGCAGGGATAAAACTCTAGTGGAGCTGTCTCGCCTATTCATTTTAGAAGGCAAGTTTCGTGCTGGTAGCAATTTCAACTTGGAAGAAGCTCGTGCTAATCTTGAGGCTAGTTTTGCCAATGAGGCTGAGATTGTTTTCACTACTGTTTCAAGCAGTGGTCGCAAGTTGTTCTCTCGTCTTTCTCATGGTTTTGATATGGTTGTGATTGATGAGGCAGCCCAAGCCAGTGAAGTGGCAGTTCTTCCTCCCCTTTCTCTTGGTGCTGCACGATGTGTTCTTGTTGGAGATCCTCAGCAGCTTCCCGCAACAGTTATTAGCAAGGCTGCTGGGACCCTGTTATACAGTAGAAGTCTTTTTGAAAGATTCCAGCAAGCAAAATGTCCGACGATGTTGTTATCTGTGCAGTATAGGATGCATCCTCAAATCCGTGATTTCCCTTCAAGATACTTCTACCAAGGACGCCTTACTGACAGTGAAAGTGTTGCTAATTTACCTGATGAGACCTACTACAAGGACCCTTTACTTAGACCTTACGTATTTTTTGACATTACCTATGGGCGGGAGTCCCACAGAGGGGGATCTGTCTCCTATCAGAACATACATGAAGCACGGTTTTGTGTTCGGTTGTATGAGCATCTCCACAAGTCATTGAAAGCGTTTGGGGTGGGAAAAATTTCAGTTGGCATAATCACACCATATAAACTGCAACTTAAATGTCTTCAGCGTGAGTTTGAGGATGTTTTGAATTCAGAAGAAGGGAAGGATCTATATATTAACACCGTAGATGCTTTCCAAGGCCAAGAGCGTGATGTGATTATCATGTCCTGTGTGCGTGCTTCAAGTCATGGGGTGGGTTTTGTTGCAGACATCCGCCGCATGAATGTAGCTCTCACTCGTGCAAGAAGGGCTCTTTGGGTATGGATTTCTTTCTTTCTTATTAGTCATTTATGCTTATTACAGTCAAGTTCACACCATCTACCTGCACATAGCTACCCACATATTATTAACTTTTTAATTTGAAATTGGATCTTTTAACAGGTGATGGGGAATGCAAATGCCTTAATGCAGTCTGATGACTGGGCTTCATTGATTACTGATGCCAAAGCCAGGAAATGTTATATGGACATGGAGACTCTTCCAAAAGAATTTCTGGTACCAAAGGGACCTTACACTCCATTACCAGGAAAGCCTTCCTCTAATATGAGGGGTTTCAGGTCTGCTGGACCAAGGCATAGATCGCTGGATATGCACGTGGAATCCAGGTCTGGAACACCATCAGAAGATGACGAGAAGTTGGGTGCATCAGTAATTTCTAGGAATGGAACTTACCGGCCTATGAAACCTCCGTTTGAGAATTCCTTGGATGACTTTGATCAGTCAGGTGATAAATCCAGAGATGCCTGGCAATATGGTATACAAAGGAAACATAGTTCTGCTGGGGTTGTTGGAAGGAGAGATATTTAGTTATTAATTGTTGTTTTTGAATCCTCTTTCTGCATCATGAGAGCTTCGTGGCATTCTTTATTTTTCCTATGGTGCAAGGGTTGCTCTTGGTCTGCCAGAAAGGTCTTGGGGCACTAGTTTCCTGTGCTGATATCTGAAGCTGGACACCTCGAATTAGAAGGGCTGAACTTTGTGCCAGATATCTTTCAGTTAATTGGGAAGTTCGGCATTAAGGGGGACTTGGCAGGGGCTATCGGCTTGTGCACAAAGTTGTGCTTTTGCAGAAGAACCATTTTTGTTGACTTCATTCCTACGATTGCTTGCAAGGGGCTGGATGCTTTTGGGTAGATGGTGGAAAATCGTACCCTACCACCAGCTTACAATCTTCAGTGGTAAGAAATGTTTTTTTTTTATAAAAGAAAAGTCATTTGATGTGCTGAAACTGAAACATAGATTTGTAATTGGAGTAATGCATATAACTCTGTAATTTTTCTTTTCCGTGTCATTGTTCATGATTTCTTCTCATTTATTGGATACCAAATAACTCAGGAATCCAAACAATGGCGTCAACAAAGCTTGTCCTGTGATGGTATTATCGCCCGCGCCGCTATTCAATTGATGTCATAAGTTGCTACTAGGAGATTAGGGGAAAGCTTCCTGATGATTCAGTAGCTCTCTTCTCACAAACATACCGACTCATTCGATCTTGCTATGACAAGAGTTAGTGCTTCGATGTAGAAAGTTCCCATTTGAATGATGCTATGTACATTTTTGGACGTGCAGAATGCACATGATGACCACATAATAGGAAGGCGAATGTAAAGGTCTGGTGGGTTTTACTGAATGTTTTTTTCTCCTGTTGTTTGAAATGTTAGTGGAGGCATAAACACATGCCAAAAGATGGCATTGCTACAATTTTCTGTATAGATATGGGGGAGGAGTACAGAAATTGTATTAGAAAGAAAAATCCATTCATAGCTTGTAGTGTCAACTAACTTTGTACATACATCTTTTAGTTGTGGAATCATATAAATTCTTTTGTTCTATGCTTCCTTGCCTTCAGTTTCTTTTACATCTCTGACCAAAGAACATGAGAGTTTCTCAGCTCAGTAGTTTCCGACTATTGATAAGGTTTGTTGCAGCATTCATTTGTAATTTATGACTATTGATCAAATGTGGGTTTTATGTGTGGGTGATTTCTACTATTGATCCAATGTGTCTTTTATGTGTGGGCGATTTTTGAAGAAAAACTTTGTTGCAATTGGGATATCATTATGTAGTTATTCCCGGCTAATAATGCTATGCCACATGAAAGTGTTATTAGTTGCAAATAGTAAAATAGTGCTATTCTCGTTTCATGAAAATTGATCTCCGATTTTTTACTATTGATCAAACATCAGTATGAAAATCGTTTCTCGAGTCATGTGATGTGTGGACCAAATAAAAAGGGGACCCTGATTACATCATGGCATGCGAGGACCTAACTAGGATAGTAGGGTCGCCCTTTGTCTTGTAAAGGACAGCACTGGCATATGGCACATGCAAGAGTAGCAACATGTTCATGTTATGGAGCATTTTTACTTTGAATGCAACCCCTGTTTTTACTGAATTACCATTCCCTAAAGTACTTCTTGTGGGCAATGGGCAATTTGGGGCTTGTTCCTCGTTGAGCTGTTGTATTATTACATATTCAGATAAAATGAAAATGGGGTCTATGTGTCTGATTAGGTGAATTAATGAAAAAGAAGAAAAAAAAAAAGGGGTTAAATGATATTTTGATCACTGGGTTTTATATGGAAATTTAATTTGGTAATTGGAAATTTTTTATAGCCAAATTGGTCATAGTGTTTTCCAAAGTTTACAATTTATAGACATTATGTTATCTTCCATTAAGTGCAGTTTTTATTTTTATTTTTATTTTATGAAGAACCTTCAGTCTTCTTCCTCTAACTCAACAAGTTAGGAATATTGTGCTATTAGGGTTTAATGATTGAGAAAAAAATTGGGTTGAAATTGAAATTGTGAGGTATAAGGAAAATAAAAAGCCAAACCAAATGAAAATGAAAATCAACAACTTTCAAATATATTTTGGTGCCCTATCACCTTGAATACGTCTTCTTGCCATTCGAAGTCACAATACGGTTGTCACTCAATCGATTCAAGTTCAATATATCATCCATTTTGTGACCTTATATCTCACAATTCCGATTTCAACTCAAAATTTCCCTCAATTTGTTAAAACCTAATAACACAATGTACCCTAATTTGTTTTTTTGTTGTTGTTGTTTTTATATAAAAAAAACTACACTTAAAGGAAGATAATAAAATGTCTATAAATTGTAAATTTTGGGAAACACGGTGACCAATTTGGCTAAATTTTTTTCTCAATAACCAAATTGAATTTTCGTGTAAAATCCAATAACAAAATAGGTATTTAACCCCAAAAAAATCAGTGATAGTGCAATACTATCTATTAGAATAATATTGCCGTCGCAATTGAGATTTCACTTGTGCCCAAATATTTTTTTCAACATTGTCGTCGACGAAAGTATCAATTATACGAAATTACATAAATACTAAGACAAATAGTAGCAAAATATGAAGGAAAAAAAAGAGCTTACTTTAATGAAATGTACTATATAATTTTTTTCTGAAACAAAGTGACGTTGTTATCAATCAATTAGTAAAGGTGCAATTCGAGAACGATCTTCAATCAGCACATCCGGAATAATATCTAGGGTCTTCCTAATGAAAATGAATTATTATTTAAGAAAAATATTTTTGTCATGCACAGAAGATGAGATTTGCTAAAAGGTCATACCTAATATTAGGGTCTTACTAATATTAGTGAATGCTTATTATACTAATATTTCGTTAATTATGTTTAAAAATATGAGATTTTTTTAAATAATATTAAACACCATGATCCATGGCCATGCAGAGAAGATGAGATTTGCTAAAAGGTCAAACCTACCCTTCCATAGTTTTAATGGCCACAAACACGGCCGGGTTCAGGTAAGGATTTGCAGACGCGTCCCCGAAAGGCTAAGCCATAAAAAATAATGTTAACAATAAGAAAAGGCTTTGGCTTTGGCTTTGTTTAAAAGGCACGTGTTTTTGGTTTGGGCATTTCAAATTTCAACCAGATTTCAGCATCGGCCATGATTCGATCCGAGTAATATTCTTGTTCAAATACAATCCAAAAACCCGCATCTCCAGCTTCTCTTTCTCTCTCTCTCTCTCTCTCTTGTTTTAAGAGTTGACCCATTCTGTGGTTTGGGACTGATGAGGAGCTCCGGAATAGTAGCTTAGCTCGGATTTTGTGAGGCCCCCAATTCTTCTTCAATCTGTTTGAAAAGGTCGGATCTTGCCATTTCTTTCGCAGTTTATAACCGTAATTTTAGTGGGTCGGTTTGATTTGCATTCCTTGTGCTTGAAAAAGCTTGTTTATTTACCATGATATTGCTGATTTGGTATATTGCGTGCATAATTATGTTAGTTAAAAGGCGCTTTTGTGATTTTTAGTCATGTACTTTACCCGAAAGTTGGTTGATTTTTTTAATGGTTTTATGAAAAGAAGAATATAGATTTAATTTCATGAACAAATAGATAGGACACATTGTAAAAACCCACCTGAGTAAATCCCTGCTGCACAAACAGGAGATTTTATGTCAATAGATTTTCCGGTTATTTGTATGTTAGATGAATGCCAATCCAAGACATTCTGATTAGGTAGATTTGGATATTACTACAAGGTACAAGTTAGTGGTGATTCCAGAGTTGTCATGTCAAAGCTATCACAAAAGGGCTTACTAGGTTGAAAATTTTACTTCAAATAGTAGTACATTGGATGCGAGCAAACATAGTTCAAAAGGCTGTATTGTTTACATGTGAACAATTTCAATTTAAGTTTGATTGACTAGAACATATGAATCTTAATGACAGATAAGGTTGAGACTGAAGGTTTTGAGTAGGATTTCAGTGCTTCCAAATGGTGGCACAAATTCTTGTTAGTCATCTCGTGGTTATAGAAATGACAATGCATATGCTGTTTCCAGTTAATAAAATAATGCCAATGTAATTTTGTTCGTAATAGAAAGGAAATGCATATGCTTTCAAGGAAAAGGTTATAGGATTGAATTATGGTTGACATTATTGATCGAATCGTGAAATTGTTGAATGGCATAGGTTCGTTAGTGTTTGGCAGACAGAAAAGTTTTTGTTCCAAAAAGGAGATGAAGGTGAGGCATTCTATTGAAACTGACATGATCCCATGTGTAATTTCTGCAAAGGTGGGAAATAGAGGATAATCTCGAGTGGGGAGGAGAAATTTAGGAATTTTGTGGTCCTGTCAGCTAAAAGGTCCATGCTAAGTGATGTAATACTGTAATCCAGCATAAGTTTTATATAGAACGAATTTGTGCAACTCTTGGCAAGGTTCAGGGTGATTTGTAAATTTGACAGCTTGAGAGCAGAGAACTAGGTTTCAACAATGTAGTCATTGACGTTATTTAAATTATTGGAAATAGATACTTGGAAACCAATTTTTCCGTGTCTGTAGAAACCAATTAAATAGTATTCATTTCCATGGTGTCTTTTCTTTTCTGTAGTAGTTGGATTAGTAACTTCTCGGCTCTAAAAATGATTGAGTAATTGGCAGATGTAACTAACGTGTAAATCTAAATAAATTCTGACCAAATTAAAATATAATATAAATGAATGTGACCCCTCTTTTCAAAAAATGAATGTGATCCCATACATGATGAATTCTGTCAGAATGTCTATTCTTGAAAGGTGCTAGTCATTCTTGAATCATGCATTTTGTTTTTTCAGAATAAGATTGGTTTAATTGTTTTCATTGCTCATTCACGTGTTTTGTAGCTTATAAAAATATGTATTGAGCCATAGTTGAGTTGACCGTTCAATCTTAAAACAGTAGTATAACTATGTTGATGTACTTCATGACTGCAATATGCTAGTTTCCATAGTGTTCAAGTAAGAAATTTAATTCTGGTTCTCTAGGGATAAGCTTAAAATATCGTTTTGTTTTTGTAGGATAGAGAACTTGCCTTTTGTTTTTGCACTTTTTTGTATATGTAAGTGATGGTGAGGGGAGACTGAAATGGGAACAAGACATTAGTACTTAAGTTCTGAAGTCTTCATTGTTGATTTACAGATTCTTCTCTGAGAACTATGAGTACGGGAATAAAGAAATCCCCTTCAAATGGCTCTGAGAAGATTTTATCATTTGAAGAGCAGCAGGCAAAGGTATCTGCAGTAAAAGTGCTCCTTTAGCATTTCTATAATTGCTTTCTTTAACTTGTTTTAATTTCTTAAGTTGGGGCATGATAATACCCTGCAACACTCTTCATCTATGCAGATTAACGAAGTGAAGAGGTTGATAGGAACATTGCCTGATAAGTTGTCCATTTATTGTTCTGATGGATCCATCTCAAGGCATCTAAGGGCAAGAAACTGGAATGTCAAGAAAGCTACGAAAATGTTAAAAGATACCTTGAAATGGAGGGCAGAATACAAACCGGAGGAGATTCGTTGGGTATGCTATCATTTATTGCTTTGTAGTCCGAATTCACATACCAATGTCTGCCAGATTCTACCTTTTCATCCTGCTTAAAACAGGTTCCCTACTCTGATAGCGTACTAGTAGTCAAATGAAGCCTGATATATTCTGCAGGTTGCATCCTTTGTTTTTCTTTCTTTGTTTTCAGTGCATACCGAACTGGCTTATCTGGTTGTGGTTCAGTGTACTGAACCTGAGTCAATTGACCTTTCTGGATTTTGTAAAATTTCAACCTTCCACACCTATTAGCAGTTCTTTCTGAATTCAACCCCACCTATCTAGTAAACTGTAAGAAAATTGATAGACACTCAAGAGTCCAGCATAGCTATAATTACTTCAAACCCAGATAATTACAATGGTCATCTGGAGTCGTCAGGGTTGGAGGTTGTGGATCCAGGTCAAGTTCTTATATGATTACTGAAGTAACAATGTTCTTACAAATTCATCATTTCCATTTGTAATGCAGGAAGAGGTAGCTCGTGAAGCAGAAACAGGGAAAATTTACAGATCAAATTATTTTGACAAGCATGGGAGACCAGTTCTTGTCATGAGACCTAGTTGTCAGGTTTTATCTTCAAAGCCCTTCTGACACCTCCATGAATTATTTGTGATTTATAAGTTAGCTATAACTTAATATTTGAATTTGACTCTGAGCTACATGTGGAATCTTATGTGCTGTAAAACTGTTGTTATTTGTCAGCTTTATTCATCCTATCTAACCAAAATATCCCATATTGAAGCAGATAGTTTTTCCAGAAAGAGATAATAAGCATATTAATCGTAGTGCACAATCAGTGACAAAATCATTGCCTATAGCATCTTGTCGAATTCCTGATAATAGGATATGCTATATATACCTATAAATGTAATGCTTTGGAGATCTATATTTCAGAAGAAATCTATTTTCCTTGTTAACATTTCGTAGTTTCTTTTAATTGCAGAACTCAAAGTCGACAAAAGGACAGATTAGATACTTGGTATACTGCATGGAGAATGCTATTTTAAATCTACCTCCAGATCAGGAACAAATGGTTTGGATGATAGATTTTCAGGGTTTCAATTTGTCACATATTTCAGTGAAGTTGACACGGGAAACTGCCCATGTTTTACAAGACCATTATCCAGAACGCCTAGGTCTTGCAATACTGTACAATCCACCAAAGTTTTTTGAACCATTCTTTACGGTAAGCCCAGTTGATTGCAAATTTTGTTGTTTAAGTTTTCACTAGCTCTATACTTTGCAGATGATCATTTTTATAAAGCTGTAACAGTATCTTTTCGCAGTTATACAGCTTTTGGCCTTTGGTCATATTTCCTTTTGGCACATGAATTGCGAATGACGACCTAAATTTGAAAGTGGAAGAAAGGCAAACTTTTTTCGTGATAAATTAACAAGATCCATAGTAATAAAATTTGTACACTTGTAAACATGATTTTTTGGCAGTTTCATGTTATCTTGTGCCATTCCAAGGGGCTGGCCATCCCCTTTTCCCCTTTTAGTAAAGGCTCAAATAGACAGGATGTCGCTTGGTACTTGGTAGATTTGTATTAATGTGGAGAAATCTATAGCCAAATTTATCAGCTTGGTGGCTATGATACTTAAACTAATGTCTTTTGTTGCAGATGGTAAAGCCTTTTCTGGAGCCAAAGACTTACAACAAAGTCAAGTTTGTTTACTCGGATGATGTCAACGCCAAGAAGATAATGGAGGATCTATTTGATATTGATAAACTGGAGGCTGCATTTGGGGGAAATGATACATCAGGTTTTGATATAAATAAATATGCTGAGAGGATGAAAGAGGATGACAAGAAGATGCCTGCAATTTGGACAAGAGGAAATCCTGCTTTGGCAGCCTCAGAACCTGCCCCTACCAGTGCTGCTCTTACATTGGATTCTATCAAGTTAGACACAGATTCTGATGCATCTGATAATGAAAAAACAGACAGTTCCTCATCCCATGGGATAGAACCAGAAGTTGTCTCAGACCATGATGAACTGGTGGCTGCCGGTACCAGAAACGCTACCGAAGATGTACATTGAGTATAATAATGGCTCAAGGTATATGGTGAGTTAACTGAACTGCTGTATCTTGCTGACCCTTTTTGGCTGTCTGGTTAGGTACTAAAAATTTAGAGGGATTCTGTGAACTCGAGTTATCAATTTATTTGAGCATTTTGGAGATTCAATGAATGTATTCGCCTTGTGCGAGGTAGTCAGAACTCATGTAGTCCACAATTCACATAAGAGATAATAGTGTTTGTCTCTGTTCTTTGTGCCTTATTGTCCACTTCTTCACTTAAAACATTTTCTCCACGCATGTGCATCTTTTTCCTCATAGAAAAAAAGTTCAATTCAATTCAATTGCAATTGGATTTGCTATATTAGAATCCAATCCGATCCAATTAAGTATGTAAAACCAATTCAAAACAAATCCAATTATGGATGGGAGAAAGGTGTCTGTTGTACTGAGAACTATGAATCGAAGCCATTATATATATAAGTTAAAGCTTTCCTTGAGAGATAAAGTTCAGCGTTTTAAGATGAAGAAAAACTCAAAAAATTGAATGTACTGAGCAGAACCAGTTGCTGGGAATTGCATCGCATATACTTTAGGTTTGGACACTATCACAAAAGCTTGAAATACGCCGCAAAGCTTATAGCACAAAAAAGAAAAAAGAAAAAGAAGATTAAAGAGTCTCAGAGGAAACTCTTACCCTAAGAATTTAATATTTCTACAATGTTGATGCTCAAAAATAGTTCCGCACTTTTGGGCTCAACTTAGTGATGTATTGGCCTTCGGGATGTCCTAGGCCTCGGTAGAGCGGCTGATCTGCACATAAATGAAAGTGCTCGGTAAGGCAGTGCGGTATCGGCTGAAGGCGCTCCGATGCTTAAGTAAGTACAGAGTGTGCTAATCTGAACAGAGTAATGGCTAAGTATGCCGAAAGTTCCAGTTACCTCCATTTGGGACTTGTGCCCCTTTTATAAGTCTTGGGAGATGTGCATGTTGTGTAGAATTTCGATGTGGGACTATAGACATTCATTGTAGGCGTTCCACATGTCCAAAGGGTGGTTTGGGATCTGGCCTTGCGCTCGGTAGTCGGAGCTGTCGAATGATTCCTTATCGATTCCTTCTTTTCGTCTATGTGTCATTCCATTATTGGTCTGTTAGTTGTGGTATAAATAGGAATCCCCTAAGTTCACAATTGAGAAAGCTTCTTAGTTGGGGACTTGCTTTCTCTTTGGTGTCTCTGGCCTTTCCTGGGAGGTGTTTGGTCCTTTGTTTGAGGTGTCCTTCAGGTTTCCCAAGGGTCACCAATTTAGTTGGGCCGTTCAGTAGTCATGTTCTTCCGAACAGCATGGCTTGGCCTGTTCATATGTCTATCCCGATGGCATCGTTGTCGCTTGGGCTTCCGTACGAGTTGTGCACATTGGGCAATGGAATTGACTACATAGGATGATGCTTAGTCTTCTGTGCTCAGAGTGTAGGCCGCCTCGGCCTCTGATGGGTGCCACGTGTCGGGGCGCGCATGCAGAGTAGAGCAATTATGGAGCCGGTTGATTTTTCGAGGTGTATCGGTTGCTCACTTTCCCTATAAATAAAAATGACTCCGGATGGAAGAGTCACTCGCGTTTGTGAGTGCGATTTGAGAGTTTTTGCAAAGGCGATTTTCAGCGATATATCTTGGCAGTATATGCGATTTTCGGCGACATTGTCACGGCAGAGCGATTTCAGGCAACTTTCGACGCCGTAATAACAAGGTATTTCTGATCTCTTCAACCCTTTTTCGATTAAGTGCATCCTTATAACTTGAACGAGACTATGAACATATATGAACACGAAGAACGTTCGGTAGTCTAGTTGCCGTAGGGAGCATTAGCTGTAGAAATCCTTAGTTTGATCCTTTTGCATGGCATTTAGTTTCCTTCTCTTTGTTTGTTGATGTCCAATAGTGAGTCTCTGTATGGTAGTGAACCCAATACATTCAATGGGGAGTCATCAGACGATTAGAGGGATACCAGTAGCGAGGCACTGAGCTTTGACAATGCCAGTAGTGAAGATGGCGAGGTTGAGGTCGTCGGCGAGAGGGTTAACATCGTATCCTCATTCGATAAAGGTAAGGTTATGCCCACGGAAAGGGCAGTGCTGTTAGCTGCAGTGCCGTGAGGCGTTGACTGCGCCAGCATGAGCCAATACTGCGAGTTCCTGATGATTGGCACGCTAGCTATCAATCGGAGACGTCCACGTCCGGCCGTGGGGCCGTTGTTGTCGAATCCTCTTCTCGGCCCGTAGTAATGATTGTCTAACAGGGAAACCCTAGGATACTTTTGGGCCAGCCCTGTTCTGGGTTTTTTTAACCTAGAGCCGAACAAGATTATCGAAGTAAAGCTGGCTAAGTACCGTGCTGAATACCGGATTTGGTGAAATGGAGGATTCCGGGGGCCACCGATCTTTGAGCAATCAGAAGGATGGTGAAGTCGTCTTCTTCACGGACATCCTAAAGCAAGTGGTTCGGCTGCCGCTGTAGCCTCATGTTCAAAGGATTATAGACCATATTACAACCCCAACTTCTGGGTGCCTCTGATGAGGGTTATTATCGCCTTAGGGCTTGCCGAAGAGGGGGAGCTGTCGTACGAGCAATTCTTTTACTTATAAAGTGTCACTAAGTCCAAGTGCGCTGCGCATGGAGGATGGGTTCAGGCTAACTGCCTCCTGGCCTTTGAATGTGGCCATTTCGTTATGGCTGTGCTGACCTCTCAGAAATCATGGAGGTATCGGCGAGTGCTCTTGTCTGGTGATTGGGAATCGCCTTCGGAAAGGCCTGTCCGTTTTCACATTCCCACAACTTTTCAAACAGTTGGTAGGTAAACTATTTGCCGTTCGGCAATCCTTTTTCTCTATCCCTCTAACCGAATCTTATGTGTGTTTCTCTGTTATAGGGAAGTTGAAGCAGCCGATTCCCACAAGGGCTGACATACAAAAAGTTGAGCGAGTGAAGAAGAAGGTACCCACTGCCGATCGGATTTATTCGGACTTCCTTTTTATTGCAAACTTGATCAAGGCCCGTCTCGTCGACCCATCAAAGAGTAACTGCTTTTATTACTGTTTGTTCATTCGATATATTTCTTTTACTCACCGAATCTTTGATTATGCAGTGATGGATGCTCGGAAGATGTTGGAGACCTCAAAAAGGCGTCTCCTAATAGGGGCCAAGGCCAAGAAGCAGCGGCAACAGTAGGTGGGCTCTTCGGCCTGGAAGGTCGCAGCTCTCGAGCTGTCAGTTGATCTAGAGAATCAGACCCTGTCCGAACGGCTAAGGCAGCTAGACTGCTGGACTCGGCCAGCCGAGCAGTTGGTCACATCGAATGAGGTTTCCCAGCAAGCCACTGGTAAGCGGTCGGTCGTCGTTGAGCTAGACCCGGCTTCGGCGTCGAAGAAGCCTAAGATGCCAGATCATGAGAGGGCCATTTTCGGTGCCGAAAATAAGGACCAGGCAGCTGATCCGGCCTCCCTAGCCTACCCTCAGAAGACCGTCCAGTTCGCGAACCACTTATCCAAAGGGTAGTTTGGGATCTGGCCTTGCGGTTAACAGTCGAGGCTGCCGAATGATTCCTTACCGATCCCTTCTTTTTGTCTACGTGTCATTCCCTTATTGGTCCGTTAGTTGTGGTATAAACATATAATATGGTCTATTTGAAAACTTCATCATAGTACATCATATGCTTATACTTAGATCATCCGCATCATATGCTTATAATTAGATCATCATATAATTATATAAAGAATAAGTTCAATAACCAATAATGTATTCATTCAGCTCTAGCCTCTCCAGGAACCTAGATCATCCACACCCTCCTCATGATATCGAGCAAGATCCTGATCCAGAGCCTCCGCTAGCTCAGCCTGAAGTAACTGTCACTAGGGCGACACCATCTCCTTAAAATAGAAGAGATATCTCATAGTTAGTTCTATATCAAATCATTACTAGTCATCTTAGTCAATGATTACTCAGTGATTAAGTGAAAGCCATTATTGTTGTTACGGTTAGCTAACTGATTGTTAGAATTAGTGGAGTTAGCCTATAACAAGTTGTATAGCTGGCAGCTCACCCTTGGTTTTTATATAACTACAGTGTAACAATTATAGTTAATTAATTGAGAGAATATTCATTTCTCGGTATGGAGAGCCTTCTGTCTCACGACTCATCTCCCCTCATTTTCTTTAGCTTTCTCGCACTTTCTCACTTGTCAAACCCTCTGATTTCTTCTTTCTTTGACAATTATTGTTAATGAATTGAGAGAATATTCATTTCTTCTTATGGTATCGAGAGCCTTATGTCTAGCGACTTTTCTCCCCTCATTTTCTTTCATTTTCTCGATCTTTCTTGCTTCCGAAACACTCTGATTTCTTCGTTCTCTGTAATTTCATGGCTTCTCCTTCTGATTATGTGGCTTCTGTCCCTCCCTCCACTCCGCTTCCTCCTCAGCCTACTGGTTCTCCGCTCTCCACAGTCTACTGGTATTACACTCCCTCCTCAACCTACGTTAGCTCCGACAGTCGTGGCGATATCACCTCCTTATATCCCAATTGACAGCTTTTATACTGAACTCAATGTCAATGGATATAAATTTGCTGAGCCAAAACATCCACCTGAAGCTGAGCCAGAGCATCCGCCTGAAATAGCCGCTGCACCCTCCAAAGTCCTCCAAAGTCGGGGCTGCGATCAACCTAAAAATACTTATCAACGGCAAAGACCTTAACACGGCCATGGCAGAAGACGCCGCCCAACCCCCAAAGCCCCCAAAGCACCCAAATAACCCAAAGCCCTTAAAGCCCCACCCATAAAACTAAGTATTCTGATGAATGGCAAAGATATAGCCCTGGCTGTGGCAAAAGCTACAAAGGCCGTGGCAGTTGCCACTGGTGCAGTCCCGAGACCACAATTTAGGAATCCAATGCTTCTAGCCGATGTCAACCCAAAAGTTGAGTCCGCTGTAGATCTTCTTAAGGAGATGTATAATGAAGTGGTAGCAGCGGCAATCCTTAAATCACCAGTACAACTACAAATATTTGATGATTCCTTTAGAAAAAAACAAAAATCAGAGGAATTAATGTTACTGATGAAGGAGACATGTGATGTCATTGTTTCATTGAAAGCCTTGCTGCCCCTACCACCGTAATTGATTTCTTCGTTCTATGTACTTTCATGACTTCTCCTTTCGATTCTGCGACCTCTGTCCCTCCTTCCACTCCGCTCCCTCCTCAGCCTACTCGTCTGCCGCTCCCTCCTCAGTTTACCGGTCCTCCGCTCCCTCCTCAACCTACACTTAGCTTCAACAGCCATGGCAACATCATTTCATCGGATACCAATTGACAGCTTTTATGCTAAACTCAATGCCAATGGATATAAATTTGCTAAGCCAGAGCATCCGCCTGAAGTAACTGCTGCACCCTCCAAAGCAAGGGTTACGATCAACCTAAAAATACTTATCAACAGCAAAAATCTTAACAAGGCCATTGCAGAAGACGTCGCAGCAACCCCTAATGCCCCCAAAGCCCCTAAAACCCTCAAAGTGCACCCATAAAACTGAAGATTCTGATGAATGACAAAGATATAGCTCTGAGCCAGATCATCTGCCTAAAGTAGCCACTGCACTATCCAAAGTCGGGGCTGCGATCAACCTAAAAATACTTATCAACGGCAAAGACCTTAACACGGCCATTGCAGAAGACGTCGCCGCAACCTTTAATGCCCGCAAAGCCCTCAAGGCTGTACCCATAAAACTGAAGATTATGATTAATGGCAAAGATATAGCCCTGAGCCAGATCATCTACCTGAAGTTGAGCCAGAGCATTCGCCTGAAGTAGTTGTTGCACCCTCTAAAGTCGGGGCTGCGATCAACCTAAAAATACTTATTAACGGCAAAAACCTTAACACGACCATTGCCGAAGACGTTGCCGCAACACCCTAATGCCCCCAAAGCCCCCAAAGCCCTCAAAGCCGCACCCATAAAACTGAAGATTCTGATGAATGACAAAGATATAGCCCTGACTGTGGCAAAAGCTGTAGAGGCCGTAGCAGCTGCCACCGTCGCAGTCCCGACACCAAGCTTCAGAAAACCAATGCTTCTAGTTGATGTCGACCCAGAAGTTGAGTCCGCCGTAGATCTTCTTAAGGAGATGTATAATGAAGTGGTAGCGGCGGCAATCCTTAAATCACTAGTAGAACTACAAATATTTGATGATTCCTTCATAATATAAAAAATAAAAAATTAAGAATAAGATGAATTAATGTTATTGGTGGAGGAGGCATGTGATGCCGTTTCTTTCATTGAAAGCTCTGCTTCCCTTACCACCGCAATTGATTTCTTCGTTCTATGTACTTTCATGGCTTCTCATTCCGATTCTGCGGCCTCTGTCCCTCCCTTCACTCCGCTCCCTCCTCAGCCTACGTTAACTCCAACAGCCGTGGCGGCATCACCTCCTCGGATCCTAATTGACAGCTTTTATGCTGAACTCAATGCCAAGGGATATAAATTTGTTGAGCCAGAGCATCCACCTGAAGCTGAGTCAGAGAATCCACCTAAAGTAGCCGATGCACCCTCCAAAGTAGGGGCTACGATCAACCTAAAAATACTTATCAACGGTAAAGACCTTACCACAACCATTGCAGAAGAAGCCACTGCAACCCCCAAAGCCCTCAAAACCCGACCCACAAAACTGAAGATTTTGATGAATGGCGAAGATATAGCTCTGGCTATGGCAGAGGCTGCGACATCCGCCACTGCCGCAATCCCGACAACAAGCTTCAGAAAATCAATGCTTCTAGTTGATGTCATCCCAGAAGTCGAGTCCGCCGTAGATCTTCTTAAAGAGATATATAATGAAGTGCTAGTGGCGGCAATCTTTAAATCACCGGTACAACTAAAAATATTTGATGATTCTTTCAGGAAAAGAAAAGAAAAAAGAATAAGAGGAATTAATGTTATTGGTGAAGGAGGTATGTGATGCCGTTGCTTTCATTAAAAGCCCTGTTGCCCCTGTCGCCGCAATTGTTTTCTTCGTTCTCTGTACTTTTATGGGTTCTTCTTCCGATTCTGCGGCCTTTGTCCCTCCCTCCATTCGGCTCCCTCCTCAACCTACATTAGCTCCGACAGCTGTGGCGTTTTCACCTCATCGGATCATAATTGACAGCTTTTATGCTAAACTTAATACCAAGGGATATAAATTTGCTGAGCTAGAGCATCCACCTAAAGCTGAGCCAGAGCATCCGCCTAAAGTAGCCGCTGCACCCTCCAAAGCCGGGGCTACAATCAACATAAAGATATTTATCAACGGTAAAGACCTTAACACGACCATTGCAGAAGACGTCACCGCAACCCCTAATGCCCCTAAATCCCTCAAAGCCGCACTCATAAAATTGAAGATTCTGATGAATGGCAAAGATATAGCCCTGATTATGGCAGAAGCTATAAAGGCCGCGGCAGCCGCCACCGCCGCAGTCCCGACACCATGTTTCAGAAAACCAATGCTTCCAGTTAATGTCGACCCAGAAGTCGAGTTCGCCACAGATCTTCTTAAGGAGATGTATAATGAAGTGGTAGCGTCGGCAATCCTTAAATCACCAGTACAACTACAAATATCTTATGATTCCTTCAACAAAAAAAGAAAGAATGAGAGGAATTAATGTTACTGGTGGAAGAGGCATGTGATGCCGTTGCTTTCATTGAAAGTCCTGCTGCCCCAGCCGCGACAATTGATTTCTTCGTTCTCTGTACTTTCATGGCTTCTCTTTTCGATTATGCGACTTCTGTCACTCCCCCCCACTCTGCTCCCTGCTCAGCCTACTAGTCTTGCGCTCCATCCTCAATCTACTAGTCTTCTGATCCCTCCGATGAATTGCAAAGATATAGTCTTGGCTATGGCAGAAGCTGCAAAGGCCACGGCAGCCACCACCGCTGTAGTCCCGACACCACGCTTTAGAAAATCAATGCTTCCAGTCGATGTCGACCCAGAAGTCGAGTCCGCCGTAGATCTTCTTAAGGAGATGTATAATGAAGTGATAGCGGCGGCAATCCTTAATTCACCAGTACAACTACAAATATCTGATGATTCCTTCAGAAAAAAAGAAAAAGAAAAAAATAATAAGAGGAATTAATGTTATTGGTGAATGAGGTATGTGATGCCATTGCTTTTATTGAAAGCCTGACTACCCCTGCCACCGCAATTGATTTCTTCGTTCTATGTATTTTCATGGCTTCTCTGCGGCTTCTGTCCCTCCCTCCACTCCTTAGCTTACTGGTAATTTGCACCCTCCTCAGTCTACAGGTCCTCCGCTCCCTCCTCAGCCTACGTTCACTCCGACAGCCGTGGCGGCGTCACCTCATCGAATCCTAATTAACAGCTTTTATGCTGAACTCAATGCTAAGGGATATAAATTTGAATAATGCTACTCTTACCACATTTGTATACCACATCTTTATACCATCTTACATATATATATATATATATATATATATATATATATATATGAGCTTGAGTTATTGAATGATGTTTTTATTAATTGGAATAATTTTGGTGTGTTTTTTGTTTTTTATTTTTGCATTGTTTCATCTTAAAAAGAAAATCAGAACTTTAACACTACTATGACCCCATAGAGTAACAATCCTGGATCCGCCACTGGCTGCTCTTATGTGGGATTCTATCAAGTTATTCTCAGATTCTGATGCATCTGATAATGAAAAAACAGACAGTTCCTCGTCCCATTGGATAGAACCAGAAGTTGTCTCAGACCACAACAAACTGGTGGCTGCCGGTACCAGAAACACTACCATAGATGTACATTGAGTATAATAATGGCTCAAGGTATATGGTGACTTAACTGAACTGATGTACCTTGCTGACCTTTTTTGGCTGTCTGGTTAGGTCCTAAAAATTTAGAGGGATTCTGTGAATTCATGTAGTCCACAATTCACATAAGAGATATAGTGTTTGTCTCCGTTCTTTGTGCCTTCTTGTTCACTCTTCACTCAAAACATTTTCTCCACGCATGTGCATCTTTTTCCTCATAGAAAAAAGTTCAATTCAATTCAATTACAATTGCATTTGCGATATTAGAATCCAATCTGATCCAATTAAGTATGTAAAACCAATTCTAAACAAATCCAATTGTAGATGGGAGAAAGGTGTCTGTCGTACTGAGAACTATGAATCTAAGCCATAATATATATATATATATATATAAAAGTTAAAGCTTTCCTTGACAGATAAAGTTCAGCGTTTTAAGATGAAGAAAAATTCGAAAAATTGGATGTACTGAACAGAAGCAGTTGAAGGGAATTGCATCACATATGCTTTAGGTTTGAACACTATCACAAAAGCTTAAAATACCACCCGCAAAGCTTATAGCACAAAAAAGAAAAAAGAAAAAGAAGATTAAAGTCTCATAGGAAACTCTTACACTCAGATGCTCATACATAGTAATGATAGTAAACTATATATATATATATATATATAATTGTATAAAGAATAAGTTCAATAACCAATAATGTGTTCATTCAACTCTAGCATTCTTTAGGAAAACATGTTATTGTATTATGTGTATATTTACTATTAATCAACAATGAATCCAACTAGAATGATTGGATTGTAGAATGAAAGAGGAGGTGGTCGTCGTCATCAGAATCATTGTCGCCAGTGGTTGGTTCGCCGATGGGAGTGTAGAAGAGGAGAAGATGATGATGGGACTTAGAAAATGAAAACGTAGTGCCATCTTCGGAAGCTCTACGTAGTGCCATCTTCACAGCTCGAGCTTCCGTCGTTGAGCCAATGCCAAAATCGAAAGGACCCATTTACCTCTCTAACCAAAAAAATCATAATTTTGTATCCAACATTTGCTGACTCATTCTTTAATTTTCTCTTGAGTCTCATGCTAAAATTCGAACAAAAAGAAAATACATATCGTACCTAGAGAGCTACATTATTCTTAATTAATAGAATGAAAAAGAGTCAAGAAGGGAAATTAAGATATGCTCTAGATGGCAACGAGCATATATACACATACAGGAATTCCTGAATTCGCCTGCATGAGAAAACTGCAGAAAATTAACCACTCCCAATTAAAAGACAAAGTCCAATCGCAAACAAATAAAAGTTTACTACTTTAATTCTTGCAATCTACTAGCTAGCTTCTAGTTCCTCCAGCTAGCAGAGATGGGCATGCTGCTGCTGCTGCTGTTGCTGGGGTAGTCTAGGAATTGAGGTCGGCCACCATGGGAGAACAACTGTGTAATAGCCCCAACGTTTTGCCAGCAGCAGCTAAATATCATCGTCCACATGCAGATAAAAAATATCCTTATTACTTGGGTCAAAAGCAATCGGTAACATATTCGATTTGAATGGAATCATTTCAGCATCAAAGGAATAAACCCTGCGTTTACTCAAATACAACTTTTTGCCAGCAGCAGCTCCATCATCTTGTGATTGTTTCAATTCATATACGTACAGACTTCTGGAGAGCATGCTCATGTTGCACAATAGCACATATCCTCTGCACACACCTGAGTACTGAAGCATAAAACCAAAGTCTAGAGTCTCCTCAAATATGGTGAAACCCAGTTTATGATCAATAATACCATCACCATTATTGTTGCTGCTGCTAGTTCCATCATTGTCGTAGAATGGACCCAAACCAATAACAATAAAGTCGCGATCTGGTAGCCAATATAACATTCCATTGTATGTAAAGGATAACTCCTTGAGGCGGCCAAAATTGAAGTGCCGTGGGGACGAGACAACTGATTCTCTCCACTCCCCAGTGTCAGAAGAGAAGATCTCCACGTTTAATTTGAACGTATCACATTTCTTCTCACCATTTTCAAATTCGACAGGAGGAAGAATTCTCACAACCGTGTACCTACACTCAACATTACGCTGGAAGTTGTTTCCTTCCAATCATCTTCCTCACATTTATAGTCAGGAGCATTGCAGATGAATCCTACCCGCACACTCTTGTGACATTTACTTGGGGTGGGAGGAAGTACAACATATTGCATGGTGTATGCATTGCAGATGTAGTATATGTGTTGATAATCCTCGGTCATGCAGCACAAAACTAAGTCATTATATGTCGCTACAACAACTGGTTTTTCCATCAAACGGTGGAAACGCATGAATATATTGAGCGCCCAAGTTCATAGATTGGGTGACGACGACACCATAGGACGGAATTCCACAGCTCTTTTGGTTATCAAAGTGCGTATCTTTGGAATTCCTGCAGGATTCATAAAACAAGAGTAACTACATTGGCCATCAAAATAAAAATAGTTCTGCATACATTAGGAAACGAAAACTACAAGTAGTCCACCCAGCACATAAGCAATAACAATTAAAGCATCAATCTAATGGAAAAGCTTGAACTGGTAAATGGTTTACCAAGAGTTCAAAACTCATAAAACGCATCGCACACAACGCAAGTGATTTTCAACAGCAGCAATGAACATACAGACAGTTTCTTCCGGACCATGACTACCAAATTTTTAATAAGACCCATTAACATATGAAATTTCCTATTACCTTAACCGTTAATTCTAGTCACCAATTCTATTGAAGCTTTTACAAGCATTAACGCTCTGGTTCAAGCATTGGCCAGCGTTGGGGTCCGGCACAGGACGGGGGGCGGGGCCCTTGAAGCGGATGCGGAGCCGGCGGGACTGCCCGGCGGCGCCAGCGTCGGCAGCACAGAATTCATTGAGGAGGGGGTTTTCCGATTCAGCCATGAGAGAAGAAATACCGAGAGATAAGATTCAGTTCCAGAAAAACAAATAAATAAACTCAGATATCGGAACAATGGAATGGTGATTCTCACGGCTGGGTGGCTTTTATGGTGGATGAGCTGGCTGGTTCCTTTTAGTTTCGGGTATACGGCAGTGCAATTCAATTCCATATGGTTAAGGGTTTCGAGAAAGAGAGGGGAGAGAGAGAGAGAGAGAGAGAGAGACGTGAGATAAATAAATGGCTTAATTTCGTAATCGGATTAGAGGAACTGAATTGAGCAGGAACGATTAATTTTGAAAAGCCAATATCAATTAAATTAAGGAGGCATGTTTACAATCCTGAAGGGAGAAAGATGTTGGACTTTTAATGACTGAGTTGGACAAGGTTGTTGAAGATGACATGGCTCACTTATTTTAGCATTTCAAAGCTGTTGAATGGAAATATTTTTGCTCACAACTTTAACCCAAGGACCTCGTTTGATTTATAGGAAAGGAGACTTAGGGATGAGAAATTAAATGCTTTCTCATATTTGGTAAGTTCAGACATGGAAAATCGTTGCCTTGCACATGGAAAAATATGAGGAAAGTGAAGCCCTCCTCCTCACTTGGGTAAAGTTAGAGAAAATAAGCCAACATTAAATACACATTTTTTATGATCATATTGTCCCCGTTAACAATTTGGAACTATCATGTTGCATCCTTTTTTTTAGTCACTCATGATCCTCAAGGTTAATATGGGTGCTCACAAGTAGTCACTATCGTCTGTTTCTATCTAAAAGTCTATTAAATTGCAGACGTGGCACACATGTGGAACTCACATATCCAATTATATCATGCCACGTGAATTAAAGAAAAGTTATTAATACTTTTTTCGTGACAAATTAATAAGATAAGACCTATAGTTTTTTCTCCTTTTTTTTTTGGGACGAAGATAAGACCCATAGTAATTGTACATTTGTAAACATTATTTTTTTGGCAATTCCTTTTCATCTTGTGCCATTCCAAGCTGCTGGTTATCCCCTTTTAGTCATAACTCATCAAGCCTATCATGTATTCACCTTGTGTAAGTTAGTCAGGAGGACCTCCTTGTCTGTGAAAAAAATATACATATACTTGCTATGAAAAGATGATGAACTGCATGTTCTGTACGTGAGTACTCTCCTTGACAGTGTAACTCAATATCCTTTATTCATTTGCTGTTTGAAGAATAAAAGAATTAAAAAACCAACCAACAAATAAAATGAATCTAAATAAAATGGCCAAAAAGATGTACCCTTATTTCAATCTATCATTACATGATTACAAACTGAGAAGATTGAATAATACCACATGAGCTTGATTAAATTTGCTTGCTACACACATACAAAAAGCATACAGAAACAAGTAGCCAGGTCTGTGAGCTTGAGAGCTGTAATAACAATATATTTCGTATATACGTAAACCTTGAAATAAGCTGACACCAAACGGTACACTACTGAAAGATAAGCCCCCTGAAAAAGCAGAAGCAGAGAGAATGTGCACAAGCATATTCAAGATTTTAGAACCAGAAGAAAACCTGTAAATGAGGTTCCCTACTTGAGAATAAATTGTGGGCTACCTAGTAAATGAGGTTCCCCTGAAAAGCAGAAGCAGAGAGAATGTGCACTAATGAACCATCTCATCTAACTTCTGCCTGTAAAGAGCCAATTTCTGCAACAAAATCCAAATAGCAGAAGCATTAGTGCCTTATTTTAGGATTAATAATTCGAGAAACTAGAAATAAAGAGAAATATAGTTGAAAGTGATAATAAACTCTGTCCATTTGCTCATACATATACTGGGAACTATGAATGAAAGCCATTTTGAGATGTACATTAGGGTCTGATTAGAGCCATATATATGAGTCACAGCTTTCCTTGACAGATAAAGTTCAGTGTTTTAAGATCAAGAAAAACTCGAAAAATTGAATGCACTAAACAGAACCAGTTGCTGTGTTTTGGGAGCTCCCTTTCTTTACTCAAACAAATGGAAGAGAAAATTACACCACATATTTTTTTCCAGCCCAAGTACTCAAGTATTTTTCAAATTGCAACCATTTTGATCATGTTCATGAGTGTGCATGAGGAGACAAGCTACTGAGACTCTAACATTGAACTGCGGAAAAGATCCAACTAAGTGCAGGAAGTTGGATACCTTGGTGTAGGCATAAACCCCAGCCTCAGCAGGTCCAGCAGGACTTCCCCTCCTAATGAATTTTCCCTCTTTGGAAATGTAAAGCATGGGTATTCCAGTTGATAGTTCTAAACTAATAACCTGCCAAAAAAGAACAAAAAATATATATGATTCTTATCTTTGGTTCTGTAAAATGATTAGTCCCAAATATGTCATGCAAATCTCAATGATCAAAATGGGCTGATACCTCTTGAGAAGTTAGTTTGTCAAGATACATTATTATGGATCTCAATGAATTCCCATGGGCAGCAATCATCACATTCTTTCCAGCTAAAAGTTGGGGTTCAATCTGCAGCGTAGTATTTATGCAGTCAGATGTTAGAGAATGGCATAATGTCACTGAGTCTTTTAGAACTACACATAACATATTGAATGTAATACAAACAGGAGGACAATCATATAGGTAATGGTCATTCTTACTTGATCTTTGAAATAAGCAACAGCTCTTTGAGCACACATTTCCAAACTCTCGCCATTAGGAGGGGGTACGTCATAACTCCGACGCCACTCATGAACTTGTTCCTTCCCATATCTATCTGCTGTTTCCTGTTTATTGAGACCCTGTAATTCCCCATACCTAAAAACAACATGAATGCCATGCGGGAGTAAGCAGAGGAAGGGGATAAAGGGAAGAAGAATAACTAGACAAAAAGCAGAGATGGAATAACTACATTCTTTCATTCAACCGCCAATCTGCTACAACAGGAATGGAATGCTTTTTTGTGTCTTCACTAAAAATCTGACTCCATGCCGTAGCTTGTTCACTCTCATTATGCATTATAACTGGCACCTGCAGGCTAATTGATGGTTAACAGGCTGAAAAAAGAATATAAAATAAAAAAATCATCCCTCATCCAATGTAACATATTTAGGCCAAAAAAGGAAAACATAGAGACTTAAAGGAGTCTTAATAGTGTACTTTTTTTCTCTTTTTTCCTACTTCTTTATATAGGATACAAGACAGATGTTTTGTCTGCTTACCCCTGCCAATTACAACCAAGAATATAAAACCAATTCAATTATGTATGGACATCAGTTTCCAGTTTCTACTATCATAAAGCTTCCAAATAGCCATTTAAGTTCTTCCTACTGACATTCAACAAAATCCTATACCCCAAATTACCTTCTTACGACGGTGCTGTGTCATGGCAAGCATGGCAGTCATCTGTGCACGAATCAGTGCAGATGTATAGATCATGTCGATAGGTATGTTGCTGATTCTCTTGCCAGCTTCAATTGCCTCTTCCACACCCTTCTTGGTCAGAGGGACATCAACACAGCCTGTGAACAAGTTCTTTTCGTTCCACAATGACTCGCCATGCCTAATCAAAATCAGAGCTGCTTCACCTGAAATGGATATGGAAACAACAGTTGGAAAATTTCACCACGAGAAAATGTATTTCAAACTCATGCACACATGCCATATCAATTGTATAAAGTCAACCAATATGGTATTCATTCAGCTCTAGCCTCATAGGAAACGATTTTATGCAAACATGTTATTGTAGAATCAACAACAAACAATTACTATGCGTATATTTACTATTCCCCAATGAATCAAAATAGAATGAGTAAAACTGCTTACCAGATTTCTTCCGAGAATCATTGGATTTGTTATGTGAGGGGGATGAAACTATATCGATCAATGAAGTCTGGGAAGTCGAGGCTCGAATTATACGAAGGTTTCTCTGACTGGAGTTATAGCATCCTCTTTTTGACAGTCCAACATCAACCTCAAAAGCCTTTGAAATCAATCTCACTGAACCTTTCCCAAACTCTTGATGCAGGCTGGAGGTATTAAAATGCCCAAGGGACTGAGAAGCCCCAATGCTTTGGTTAAATACAGCAGCAGCCATGCTGAAAATTCAAAATATCCCAAGTAATGGCATAAGTACAAAAGTTATACATACGGGAGGACAAAACTATCTTCAAAACCAAATCATCATAGCTTTGGGGACAAAAGAAAAAGAACATCTTCTACATCTTCCTATGGTCAAAAGCAGGGATGAAAATAAAGGAAAAAGATTAACTGAAACAAAAAGGCAGTTAAAAGTATTGGCATGCTTCCAAGCAAATGACAAATACCTTTTTCTTCTAAGAGTTCTTTGGCATTCCAAATTCAAAATCCCACATTAAGATGAACATAATCAATCAGCTCCTATTAACTTTGAAGAAAAAAATCCATAAACTTAAATACATGTAAGGAAGGAAACAACAAATGCAGCTCTGAAAAAATGTTTATAACATCATGATCAGGCAAATTTGACTGACACCTGGAAGGTTAATTATTAGAAAACAACTAGTACTGAATATGTAATAAAAGTTTAGAGAGAGAGAGAGAGAGAGAGAGAGAGAGAGAGAGAGAGAGAGAGAGAATGTGCAGATCAATATGGAAAGGGTCGAAGCAAGCAAATTTAATGCTCTCGAACAATCAACTTATTCCCAATGAAGATTAGACGAAACTAAAACACCAGAAAGGAATGGCTTTTCCTTAATTCTTCTAAATGTTCAAACACATTCAAGTCAAAATCACAAATGAAAAAACAAAAAGGAAAGGAAAACAGAAAAAAAGAAGAGACCTTTGCAGAGAATCAAGGTATCAGAGAGAAACCCAGAAGCCAAAACGCCCAGAAGCAAATGCAGAACAAATAAAAAAGCAGTTTAGAGAAGGGTAGCGGGTACTTAGAATTTACCTTGATATATTAATGAAAAGCGACACAACCGAGGCAGAGAAAGTGCAAAAGAGAAAATGGGTACAGAGTTTATTACGAGAGAGGTTGACGGAGAAGAAGATGATGAGTTGTTTGTGCAAAGTTAATAGCTACATGTCCTTCTCATTGATCTCCAAGTCTCAACGAACAAAACATGTGTATTTTGTGTTTTATATAAAAAAAAATTTATAGAAGAAATCGTTGTAGTTTGTCGTCGTCATTAAAAGGCTTCTCAAGGAAACAGTATATTGACAATTGCCCGAAGTTGGCAACAGATTGGTGGGCGTTTATGCCTCTGACTAAGTTGGGCTTGTTTGACTTCAATATTTTGCTTTTGATTTTTTTCTTCTTTTGTCTAATATTAGTGATTTTTTATTTATTTCAATTGTTATTATCATAGATAATAGAACTTAATTACATGGTTAATATGAGATAAGGAGATAAAGCACCGGCTAATTACTCGGATAACAAATTTCATATTATAATTTGGATAAAGAACATGTTAGAATATGCGATGCGCGTATATAGAAACTAGTATAAAAAAAAATTTGATGTTGATAATAAAAAAGAATTATTATTACCATTATTTTGTGTTTAAACTACATGATCCAAATTAGGTTGCCTCATCTACCACAAGAGGGTTTAGCTTTCATGCCCGTGCATGAAAATGAGCCTTGTAATTTATAAATGGGTTGAGAGTTTGAGCGACAAAATGGGTGTCTTATTTTTCAAATAAAGCCAACAATATTTTTGTCTGTTGATTGAGTAGTTGGAAGGGCCGTGGCCTCCTAAATACATATAACTAGCAGGTGCAGCTAGCAACACAGATTTAAGGAAAGAATATACCAAACAAAGCAACCCTTCAAAGTCACCAATTTGAAAGTACCACCTACCTCCACCTCAACACACAACTCTCTCTCTCTCTCTCTCTCTCTCTCTCTCTCTCAAGAACATTTTCTCTCTGGTTTATTTGGTGTTTGCATATATAACACGTGCTTGTTTTTGCTTATTCACACAGCTTATGCATGGTTACACCAAATACATGCAATGCAACCATGTGACACCTAACCCCTCCTCCATCAGCAGCATTCAATTATTTATATCAGATCTGGAAATGGACTGGCTCAATGTTGAACGGTTCCAGATTTAACCACGTGGCAATTCAACAAGGAAGGAAGAGAGGGGTTCAAATAAGTGCGCTGGGTGTACAAAGAATATTCTGGCATTGTTCCTCTCTTCCCTAATTGGAGAAACGTGTGGGTTTTATTGGACTTTAGAGTAAAGCTTCAAGCTTGCCATCCTCACGGATTGTGTTTTAGTTCAATTATATAAACCATTTTAGCATATTCTCTGGCTATTGTATTCCCGACTAACTCTTGATCTAATGATATTTTTTTCCCAATATTAGAAGAGATTTCAGATTCGAATTCCACATTCTGCATTAATTTAACCCCAAAAACAAAAAAAAACCTATTGATGTTGTGGAAAAACCTATTTTCACCACTTAATATAGTTCGAATTTTTTGTAACTTTTTTTATCAACATATTCTAGGCATAAATGATTGAATAGGTGGGTGGAAATGGTGAAGTAAACCAAGAATATTAGGGTTTAAAGATGACCAAAAGAGCAAAACTTGTAAGTTTTCCTAAAGGGTGACCTTGTTTCCTGCCTAATTGAGTTAGGCTTCAAATGATTATAAATCTCACAATGAAAACCAAGTTTCCCATCTTCATACCTGTTAATGCCTACTGCTTATTAATCTACGACTCGATGATTATAATCCATTTAGTCACTCAACTGAACTGAGATTATATAACCTCTTATAAAACACTAACTGTAAAATCATCAGAGGTTGCACTCAAACATACCATACGTACAGAAAATTATAAACAACATGAGCTGAGCCTTTTGTTCATAATTTTTGACCCTTTGTAAATTCTCAAGGCCCAATCCTTGAAGAAAAAGGTCCAACCTCATTTTGAGGGTGTTAGAATCTTTGACCAAGACCCCAATGGCATTCAGACACCATTAAAGACTTCTGCGGAGAAAATATGAAATAGGGTTATAAACAATCATGAACATTATGAATATTTTTGGAATGAATTAAAGATATTGCTTGACAAATATTTTTTTGTTTAAACCCACTTGGGCTTTAGTCAAGTTGGCTAGAGCGGATGTGCTCTCTACTCTACATCCGAATTCAAATCTCCCTCCTTAATTTAATTGTAGTTTAAATTTGATTAAAATAAAATATAATTTGTATCTAAAAAGAAAAACCCACTAATCCACCCACCAGGGAAAACCATTATTTATTTGTGTCATATGTGAGACTTGGGTCGACTCAAATTTATCAAGGCCTGGTCCAAATTTTGAAGGACTAAAGTCCAGCCGGTGAGCCCATATAATCACAATTTACGTAGACGTTTGCTTGGGACGACTTTTCCTTTGCGCCTTAAAAACACAATTTGGAAAGCTCAACTTCAAGATGCTAATCACTAGGCTTGGCGTGCTAATCAGATTGCATGCTTTAATCCTTCACTAACAATTTCTATGCAATGTATCAGTACCATATTCGATTCAAATCCATTGAGAAAATCAATTTAATCAATAATTAATAATATTATTTAACAGAAGCTATAATTACCAGGCCAGTAGAGACCATGTAATATAGTTTAAGAGAGTATTAGCAAATAAAATCAAGAATCTCTAGATGTTGAGATAAACAAACCAACAAATAGTAGCAAACATTGGCAGGGCAAGCCGAGCAAAGTTTAAAAACTAGACACATTCTAGGAACTCAAACCACGTCTACTCGTCGAACTCCTGCAATTGCTTGAGAATCTGGGCACAACCAGGCACGGCTTCATTCTTCATGAACCCCATTGCATTGGCAAAACGGTTGTATGATGCAATGCCGTTGTAGCCAGTTAGGATGACACGTGCACGGTCACGTCCTGGGGCAGCTGCCGCACAGTCCTCCTGAGAGCTGCTAACAAGAACAGCATCACAAAACTGGTCCTCATGGTCCTCTGTGACGGGGATCTTGTAGGTTCCTGTTGAGTCAGTTCTCCCTTCTTTGGTGTATCGGATATCCATGGTCTTCCTGTCTCTGCATTCTAGTCTAACAGTGGCACCTGATACGAACATCACCAAATAAAACTTGTCAACGGCAATGTACAAATCATAGATTCATAACAGTTTCTTCCAATTCCTTATCAAATATCACTTCAAATAATCAATAACACTGAGGATAAATACAACCAATCCCAAGACAATACTAAAGCAGCTATGCACCCTAAATTGATATCCAAAACTAGTTGTCAATTTGCCACTACCTATGTCAAATAGGAGAATAAAATTGTATCAACAACCATCGAGTCACCAAAACTTTCCCCAATTTTAGTCACGAATCGATGTCATAACAATGTGTTAGACATAAACGCAGTTGAGAGTGAACCTAGATATGATGAAACACTGTAGCCATTTGTTTTGATGTCCTTAGCATTCTCAAATTGTATGCTAGTATGTACACTCCCACAATGCTTGGGCTTACTTACAAGAATTCTTTTTTCTCAAAACAATTTCTTGGGTCTTAATTTTCAATAATTTTTCTGAGATGGGTTCTTTATTTATCTGCACACAAGAATCCTAAAGCGTCAACATTTTGACCATCTACAGTCCAACAGGTCCAAACCCAGTAAGATCTAAAAGTACAAAACCCATCTTTCACTTCAAATTACAAAGCAAACAAAGAACCCTTCCAGATCTAGCGAGTTAGATCGAAATTCTAAACCATCAACAAAAAACCCACATAACACATAACCAAAATCCAAAATGGAAAAACAAAACCGGAGTAAAAATGCTTACCGGGAATGTAGGTGGTGGCTGAGGTCTCAAACCCAGCACGGCAATTGTCACAGTAGACCTTTCCTTCCACCGTGAATGGGGTCCTCATGGGACGCGTGGCGACGGCCAGAGCCGGAAGCACACACAGAGCAAACAGCACAATCAACTTCGCCATTGAAAAGCTTTTGAAGTTTGAGTCTTTCTTTTGTTTTTACAGCGATTTGAGGGAGAAGATAAGAGTGATATATGAAGAGAGGAGAGTCAAGAGGCAACGTGATGATGATATTTGATGATAAAAGGCAACGCAACGAGTGGCATTAGTGGGAAAAAGTTCAGCAATAGGCGGACAATTGATTGCCCTAAACCGCGTAAAGAGGGCTCTCCTCTACTTGCCGAAACTATTACACCGCCTTTTGAAACGAATAGGATAGTGACACGTGGTGAACATTGGTTTTGTGGTAATTTTGAATGAGTTGAAAGTGTTGGGTGGGGAAAGGGTATTGGCGATTGCAAGGAGATTTGGGGCGAACGGGCGCAGAGGAAAGAACTGGGCTTGTGATTAAGGGCAGCTGGCGCTGTCGGTGGTCACATGGGGGCTCATGCTTTTGGAAGCTTGTGAAAGCAGTAAAGTGCTGAACTGGTAATGCGCTGTGAAACGACCGCGTATTGACTATAGGATGTAGCGTGTTTTTTAAATAATGGAAATAAATCGAATAAAAAATGGAAATAAATCGGACAAAAAAAACAAATGGAAATTAATAGAAAAGGGTCTGGTGGGCTCTAAAGCCCTTACTGTGTGGAGCAAGCCCTTGCCTTTGACGGTGTTTCAGGCCTAAAACAGAAGTCCATTACACTACGTTATGGGCCACACAATCACTTTTTGAGCACAAATACATTAATATATTCAAGGTTTTTTTTTGTTGTTGAAAATTAGCGATAATATATATTCGAGTTTTTGAATTAACGGTTTCATCAATAAATCCCACCTGTTTGTTTGCATACGTGGGTTAGAATAGTTGCCCTTTTTACACTATCTTCCTCCTAATACATTAGAGTGATTTAAAATACCACTTTGTTATAAAAGAATCACTCACCTGCCAACTCGGATCACGAATTTTTAAATCTATATATCGCTACAATCAATGTAAAGTTAGAAATTTGTTTGGTAGATCGGACGTCACTAAATTGGACGACTATCAAAGATTCTCTTATTATAAGTTATAACCTTGCGATAACCCCACATTCAAGCATCTCTCCTTATTGAATGCTTTTTTGAGTCATTTATAAAACCTTCATATTATAGTGATGATGAAACTAGCCCAATCTATTTGTCAACAAAAAAAAAAAAAAAAAAAAAAAAAAAAAAAAAAAAAAAAAAACCCAAATAAAAAAAAAACCGAGAGACACAACACAAATTTCAATTTCCGAGAGGAAGTTGATTTGTGGAAATCTCTACTTGCCAACTGTCCTGCAGGGGTGCAGGCCACAATAGCACGTGCCATATTGATCATTGGAAGTTGGGAATGCTTTGTACTGGAGCAGGCCTTAGGTTTTTTTTTATGGATATATTCTAGACGGCAACCTATATCGCGGTGTTGAAGTGGAGACAATCTAATGGAAATTTGGGAAGCCACTTGGTTTTATATATTTTGATACTGACAAAATGTTCCTGTTAAACAAAAGAAGATAAAAACAAATCTAAGTTTATTTGCTAAAAGATTTACTTTGGCCTTGATTCCTTCTTGTCATTCAATTGATTAATGATCATGTTTAAAAAAAATAAAATCAATGACCTTGGTTCTTTGCATCTTCTAGAGGATTGGCCATTTCAACTTGAACTCTTATACATCATAAAAAATAAAAAAATGTGAACCTTATACAGTAATATTCATTTCTTAACCATCTTATGTTATTAAGAGCCCCTTGTTAGACTGTGTTCTTCATCTATGTAGTAATACGAAACTATATTAATATTCGATGATAGGTACTATATCCACTTATTTATTAAGAAAATATCTCTTTTTATATCACTATTTTGAATTTGTCAAATTTAATTCACGAGAAATTGCTTTAGTCGTATATGAAATGAGAATTTGGTTGAATGATCAACACCAATGATTTGCTTGCTTGAAGTCTCCACAGGGCAATCTTACATTAATGTTTTGTGACTTTGTGTTATCAGTTACTAGTTGCAAAAAGTATGTCTGACTTTGTATCGATCAAAGATGATCGATGCTTCATTTTCATTTTCAAACCTCTTCATAATTAAGCAGTAAACAAACACCATTTCCCTTTCCACTCAACTGTCTGCCTTTTTGCGATCTTAAATGGAGTTTAAACACTAAACCTTTATAGTGGTCTAGAAGAATAGAATACAAGTCAACCAAGGAACCTTTTGGTAAGTAGGCAACTAATGAGCAAAGCTTGGAATATGTTTACAGCATTTCTAACGGGCTAAATGTGCGCTTCTACGTTGAATTTTAGAGAGAATGTTAAAATAAGGAGATCATTAGAAGCTCCTAAATATAAACTAGCGAGAAATGGACTTTTAGTGGCTCCATTTCATTAATCATTAATATTATAATATTATTTTGAACATCGGATAAAGTAAATGATAATTAGACAGGTTCAACCCCATATAAATGAATCTTAATTCGTTTGCCCTTTTTCCCCACTTCAAATTGGTAGGTTACCACCACTAAAGTTTTTATTTTTTATTTTTTGAAAGAAAAAAATAATTGTATTCATAAATTAGGCACAAATACCATTAGCACAAGGACAAATACGAATACCCACGAAGGATAATACAAATATGAAAGCACAGTAACGACACATGGTTAATCCATATACAAAATTTCCACCGAAAATATAACAAGTTGTTCTAGTTAACCGATTAAAGTCTTCATGTCAATTATTTTGTACAGAATTTCCAAGGATAACAAGTTGTTGAGTATGTGGAAAATAAATACTCTAGAACTAAAGCTTAAAGCATCCATAAGCCAGTAGATAGCCTTGCATTTAGGCTTGGCTAGTATTTCGAACTTGGAACATTATTTTGGTGAGGCTTATTATCACAAAACATCCCTAGGGTTTATGAAACTATCAGATTGCATCCTTAATATTTTTTTTGTCACTTGTGGTCCTTAAGGTTAGTATATGCGATCACAAATGGTCTCTGCCGTTAGGTTCCGTCAAAAGCTCTGTTAGTTTGCTGACGTGGCATATGTATATATATATATATATATATCACAAAACATCCCTGAGGTTCACACACCTATCACAAATGGTCCATATGCAATTTTTTATTTTTTTATTTAAAATTCATAAAATTTTGGTTTTCTTTTATAAATTATTTATAAATGAAAAAACCATTTATATAAGGATTTTAATATTGAGGACCATTTATGAACCCTAAGTCCTTAGTTTTTTCATTTTTAAATTTTATGAATTTTAAATTATTTTTTAAAAACTCCATTAGTTTGTTGATGTGACATATATATGGAGCCCACATCGACAATAATATAGTGTCACATGTATTTAAAATATAATATATATTTTTAAATAATTTAAAATTCATAAAATTTTAAAAAGAAAACTAAAATTTTATGAATTTTAAATTAAAAAATTAAAAAAATTCGCAGGGACCATTTGTGATAGGTGTGTGAACCTCAGGGATGTTTTGTGATATATACATATATGCCACGTCAGCAAATTAAAGGAGTATTTGACGGAACCTAACGGCATGGACCATTTGTGATCACACATACTAACATTGAGGACCACGAATGACAAAAAAAAATGTTAAGGATGCAATCTGATAGTTTCGTAAACCTTAGAGACGTTTTGTGGTAATAAGCCTTTTGGTAATATTCGAAAGTTGGACTTGTAAGTATGAAAAATAAATTCTCTACATCTAAAGCTAATAAAAGCTTCGCATTAAAGAAAAACACCTCGAATATTGAATATCCTAAACTTCAAACCTCTCCTACCTCTGCTTTGCTTGAAAAAGATGTTGAATCTTATGGATTTGGTTGGAAGCTTCTGATCCAATTGGAATCGCTTTTCATCTCAAAACATAACAAGGAAATAAAAAATTAGAGGGATTCGGATCATACAAATTGACGTCATAGATGAATCCTACAAATTAATGGAGGATTGGCAACCAATTGCCTTAAATTCTATGCATTGTTATATGAAGTATGATTTGGATGGAGGTCTCTTTAAGTTCGAAACTTAGGGTGATAAACTAGTGCACGTTTCTGTGTTTCATAATCTTTAATAGGAAAAACGAAGAGGAAGTTTTTTTTGTAACCAGTGATTCAAGGTCAAAAGAGAGAGGGAGACTCGAGACAATTCTCATTCTAGATGATTATATAGTTTTTTTATTTATAACAATTGAGGGAAGATATTCGAATGAGACTTCTTCCAATATTAAAAAAAAAGTACCATTACATGTGAGAGTGAGAGAGAGAGAGAGAGAAAATAGGTTTGCATACACATGGAAAAAAAATTTAAAAGTATTTATGGATTATATAATTCCTTTTTAATTTTTGTTTGGAAATCATAGGTGCTCATCGAAAAGGGCTTTAAAGTCCGTTTGTAGAAAACACTTCAATTTTTAATAAAAATTTTAAGTGCTTTATTTTTATTTTTATACAATTGATATCAGGTGAATCGAACCTAGGACCTTGAGTGCTCTTAGCCACTTAAATTACACGCTCCTTGTATATTTTAATTACTTTTTACAGAAGTGGTTTCAGTATATGTGCTTATGAGCTGGCAATGTACTTATTTTTATTTTTTGCTGAAGCACACTGAAATGCCCTTCAAACTTCTGTATAAACTCTGCTTTCGAGCATTTCTCTGTGATTAAAGGGAAACCCTGCGCTGACTTTCTAGAAATCTTTGTTAAGGCACCGAATATTTTGGCTGACAATGTTGGTTCTAAATGCCTCCTATTCAACAAGGCAAAGTCTAACCTGATAGGTATATGTACTCCGTATCCATCATTGTATTCTGCAAATCTTGTAAAATAATTCAAAATGGGGCATTAAAATATAGAAAATATAGCAGCTTTCCAGGATTCTAAAACTGCACCTATGGCATCCTAAAAGAAGTTTTCAAAACTCCTAAATATTGGTCAAAGTTTTGTATTTTTTGGTTGATATTTGACTC